GGTACAATGTCTCCGTACGTTCATGAGATGGGCGTGTCAGGCACCGCACTCGTGGTAGGTAAATGTTCATGATTACTGTCTTGTGGATCATTGTCTATCACTGTATTATTGTCACTATCAACTTCATCCAATTCAGGAATCATTATTTCATCGCCACTATCATCATCAGAAAAAATCTCGTTCACAACATTTTCCAGCTGGTCTGTAGGAACACGAAGACACTTGCTGCAAGAAGCTATGGTGAAACTGAATGAATGTGAAATATTTTCTGACCTTTACCATCTCAGAGGGTTCTGACAGTAATATAGACCCCCACAAAGTTTACAAGGGTTCTTTACAAACATGCACAAAAACTATCATATATATGTCTTTGGTTGATGAGTGCCAAGAGAGCAAAGAAGGGACGAGATTGTCAAAGCGTTAAAACACGCCAAAGCCAGGGAACGGCTGGCATCGTCCGGGCGTTAAAACACGCCCGCACCAGTCAAAGAGTTAATTTAACTTCTGAAACATAGGAATGGAATAGGATGTCCAACAATATATATAATTACAAGAAATGTTTTGTAGATAAATGTTCCATATTTTAGGTGAAAGATGGCCGAAAGTGCTTCACAGAAAAAGAAGTTCATCATTTTGGAATACCTCCAGCAAGAACTACACAGTGGAAACGTACAACTGAAGTTCAGCCATTCAGTTTTGAAGAAAGGGACAGACTCTTGCTTAAAAAGAGAGAGGAAACTATTCAGAAAGTAAGGTTTAAGACATAAAAACATACCACTGATTCAGAAATGTTATCTGTAATATCCTTAACCTCTGTTGTACCCCATTTACATATCTTTTTTTATGAAAAGTCTTAATCAGTGGTTAACATTTTTCAGCTTAAAGGGGATTTTCTTTTGTTTAATATGTTTTGTTTAATTTGAACTTCTTTTTTGAGGGGGGGAGGGTGTGGAGCACACATGACACCAACTTTGTTTCATGTCCAAGGTCTAGTGTTCACTGTGTCATCTGTCAAATCAGACTGGGTTAGCTGGTGGAATGGATTTTGTCATATTACAGCCTGAAGTCAAGGTGTGCACACACTTGCACACACATCATGTTAGTTCCCTGACCAACATATGTCTGAAATATCTATTATTCATTTTGAATCACAAGAAGTGAGGAGAATGAAAGCCAAAACAAACCCTGTGGCCTGTAGTCTGCAAGCGAACTGTACCAACCGAGTGACCGCCGCTTGTATGCGAAGTTAATGCCAACATTTGCGAATAGACGGTGTCGCGTGGTCAGCACAACGAATCCCTACGGCCGTAAATTTCGGTCTTCTAGACCCGAGCTGCTATTTCTTTGAAATAGCTCCTCAATTATCATCATGAGGCTGGGTGGACCCCATTCCAGACCCACTACTTCTCAGAAAATCTGGTAGCACCAGGAATCGAACCCGGACCTCTAGATCTGTAGCCAGGAACACTGACCACTAGACCACAGAGGCGGTCATGAGGAGGATGAAACTGTTCGGAGAAAGGTCCAGGAGTGGAAAAATAGCTTTTTCATACAGTTCATGGTCAGCTTGCTGATGGAGTGTTTGTTATGTGGTCACATTTGTCCATGCCCATGACAGAAATTTCCCTCTGCTGTAGGATGATGTATATTCATCATCAGCATGTTTACATTTTGTCTTGTGACACTTTGGTACATCACCCTTGCCTTAATGTTTATTGTGCCATTTGAATTGCTCTTTTTTGAAAATCCCTAGAATTCCTTTTACTTTTTAATGCACAGGATATGTGAGAAGGTAAGAGTTTATTAGTTATTGGTCACTGCTCCAAAAACTAGGTGTGTTCCAGAAAAAATGATGGTTTTCTTGAAAACAGCTGCACTGATTTTGAAAACTTCAGTAATTTGTGGAACACACATCCCTAAATAAAACTATGTAGGTGATATTGCAAGAAGGCAATGTTATATGCAGTAGGGGCCCAAATGAAAAAATATCAGTTTTTGTTGGACCCAGGTTTATGGGTCGGATGGCTTTTATTGTCTTTTGGTATTCATTAAGCAAGAATGGTCTACAGAGCAACAATTGATTGTCATTTCAGGGTAACTTAATCAAGGTCTATCTTATACGAGAAAGTATGCACAGTGTCTTTTCACCAGTTGTTTTGTTTGGTTGAACATTATCACAGCCTATTGTGATTGTTACATGTACATTATCAGTTAAGTTGACTAGATTCTGGAACTGTTTAACACACCTTCATATTGTGGTCCTCATAGTCTTGATACTATTCAATCTGAATGAAAGATAAAACTCTAATGATGTTTTTGAAATCATAAATGTACACTGCTGTTGATGTGTTATTAATTTCCAGTACCTGGAGCATGAGAAGAAGTCTCGTGAATTTCATGCTAACCCAATTCCAGCCTGTGTAAAGTCACCAAGCACTGTGAAGGAGGCATCTGTTCTTTCGACTGAACCAGCTCCATTCCAACTGGAGGTGGATAAACGTGGCATGATTAAAAAGCAGCAACTCAGACAAAAGGTAACAATATGGCTTATGTGTCAAGGCCAAAAGAAATGTTTACTGCTGTAGTTTAGGCATGTATACCTGGTGTGTTCAAAAAGTATCGAACCTTTGGTTGGCAGAAATTCGTTTATTGATTTGGAGGTACAAAACCCTAATCCCCTTCAAAGTAGTCTCCTTGGTAATGTACACACTTCTCCCAGCACTTCCGCCATTGTTGGAAACACTTCTGGAATGGTGATAAGCCGGGCCGTTGCATTCCGCATGATGTCTTCTCTTGACTCAAATCGGGTTGTTTTCAGCGGCATTTTCAGCTTGAGAAATAGCCAAAAGTCACATGGAGCCATGTCAGGCGAGTAGGGAGCCTAATGAACCACAGGGATGTTGTGTTTGGCGATGCAAGTCTGAATCAGATGCGCAGAATGGGCGGGTGTGTTATCATGATGGAGCTGCCAAGTTTTTGCTGCCCACAGATCCAGTCGTTTGCGCTGCACAGCATCACAAAGGCAACAAAGGACCTCCTGGTAGTATTCCTTTGTGATGGTTTAGCCTTGTGGTGCGTACTCATAATACACAACCCCACAGGAGTCAAAGAAAACAGCCAACATGACCTTGTCATTGCTGCGGACCTGCCATGCTTTTTTTGGCCTCGGGGATGTCGGGTGTTTCCACTGTGATGACTGCATCTTGGTTTCTGGGTCATACCCATAAACCCATGACTCATTGCCTATGATCACGGTGTTCAGAAAGTTGGGGTCACTGTTTGCATTGTCCAGCATGTCCTGTGCGATTTCCAGATGGCGTTGCTTGTGCTCCATTGTTAGCAGTTTCTGTACGAATTTCGCAGACACTCTCCTCATGCCCAAATCCTCGGTCAAAATTAAATGTACCGATCCAATGCTTACCCCTATCTCCTTCGCAAGTCCTCAGACTGTGATACGACAGTCCTCCATGACCAAAGTCAGCACTTGCTCAATGACATTCTCATTTCGGCTTGTTGAGGGTCTGCCTGAACGTGGTTCACTGTCCACTGATGTGCAGCCATTTTTGAAGCGGTTGTACCACTGCCAGCGACTGACGCTTTCTGCGGGCGGGAAAAAATTCACGACTGCTCATGAATGTCCCCTCCACATCACCGAAGGGAGCCTCCTGCACTTCATTGGTTTACGCGGGAAAAAAGAAGGTTCAATACTTTTTGAACACACCACGCATTTTCAATTTGAAGCAGCATTGGAAAACTTCTGATGTAAAATGTCAGTAACTGTAATCACATTTCAGCACATGATCTGTAAATGATTAGTCTAAGCAAGACATTGCCAATTTGTGGTTATGTCATTTCCATGGAAACCAAATGCAAAAGTAATCTCAGTTGATTATGATAAGCAGAAGATGGCAGCTATAAACAGCACTGTTTTGGAAATCAGTTTTATTGCATCAAATATTGATGAAGTGGGATACCTCTAGACTATTATTGTTATTATTATTATGCTTGTTCTGTCATGCTGTTTTTCCAGAACTTTCAAATTCATAATGCACATATTTATGGGATTGTTATGGTCTTCTCTCTAGGGCTGTATTATGTAAAAGAGTGGACCAGTGACAGAATTATATGTACAAACTAAAGATAGGAATTGTTAAATTTTCTCGTTGATTTTCAACAGATGTTTCACTAGTAAAGTCATAAAAGTGACATGCCATAGCAATAGATGTTTGCAGGTGTCTTCCATAGCAAGGAATTTCTTGCTTGTGAAATATATTTTTAATATTTTGGGCATGTTTCAGATGGAAGAGGAAGCAAGAAAACTGCAGCAGGCAGCTCAGTTTAAGGCTCGACCTGCAATAGTATTACATAAAAAACCATTTGAGCCCAAAAAATCCAATAATCCTTTTACTGATATAACAGCAATTGAACTTAACACTGAGAGACGAGCTAAGGAGAGGGAGGAGTTTGACACCAAGATTAAACTAGAGCAAGCAGAATTAGAGGAATTGAGGCGATTGGTTTGTATAAATAATTTGATGAAACAAAATTATACTATAAAGGACCATTCACACTAATCAGCAGCATGTATGCTCAGTTCCATGGGTGTCAGTGCTAAGAAATATTGTTTCCATACATCATAATGGATGTATTTAGACATGTCAGGTTCCATGACATACTCAGTGTCAGTGTTATGTCCATTCTGTGAAATTTGGTATCAGTGGTGATATTTCTTGTCTTTTCGCTGATACAGAAGCATAAGTGAACAGTGTGCTTGAATAGAGTCGGTAAATAGGACACGAATGGATATAAAACGTAAAACATGTGATATTTGAATCTGAAAAAAAACATTTCTGACATATCCTCCACCAATATTGATGCACTTGGCCCATCACTTTACCAGTGTGTTGAAACCTGCAGCATAGAGGTGTTGACTGTTGTCTCAGTCACTTTGTACCTCAGTTTCACCCTCATCGTCATCAGTGAAATATTTGCCATGTTTCTATACCCAGCTGTGAATCACATTATTCAACAAACACTTCCCTCCATAAACAGGAAACATTTTTTATGAATATCCTTTTCACTGAGTCCTTTTCCCACAAAAACAGAGTGCAGCTCTTTGGTATTACAATCCTCAAGCGCGGTCGTCATTTTGACTACTGAACAGCCTCAGAAGATGCACGTGTGTGTCTTCTACCCAGACTGCCATGAACCCGGACTGTGCCACTACCTAGTGATACACATAGAAAACCTGTTATATCCTTTACAGCTGTTTTACTTCCATTTGTCACCTATTTACTGACTCTTCCTTGTAATCTCCAATTCTGTCTCCTCGTGAACCTACAAATAATCACCATGGTGTGCAATAACTCCCGTCTCACTCAACATATCAGCAGCAATGCTTAACAGAATGTTTTCAAGGATTTAACAACAACTAAGCTTAATTATAATAAGTTAAGTAAAGTTATAAATGAAGAAAGCAGTCTTCTGGGATGTGGCACCGTGTAGATGTGGTGTTAACCGAAGTTTCGGAGGAACGTATCGCCTCCATCTTCCGGGTAAAAGGAAAAATAAGAAATCCGCAAGTAAAGAGACCGTGAGAACCGGTACAAGCAGACTGGTGTTGGAAATATACACAGCTATGTGAGAGCAGAGAAGGAAGGGGGGGGGCAAGTCTACATGGGAAATCAGTGGAGTGGGAGGGGGGAAGGAGCTAGAAACAGAAGCAGGGTTTTGTATGAGATATTGTGTCGGGGGAGAGCAAGGCAAGGTTAAAGGGAGGGCACTAACCCTTAAGCTGGGGGGGGGGGGGGGTGTGTGTGTTGTGGGTNAAGTCGTGGGCTATGTAGCCTTGTGGATCTGCTGTCATGTCCCGGGGTTTTTTTTAGGGAACAGACGAGAGGCTTCCATGACTTGCTGAGACAAAACCCCCCTCCCTGTCCATATTTTCGGGATGGAGTTCGATCTCAATGGCTTCCCAGTGTATGGGTCGCATCAATAGGGAAGCCATTGAGATCGAACTTCATCCTGAAAATATGAACAGGGAAGGGGGTTTCGTCTCAGCAAGTCTCCACATCTACACGGTGCCACATCCCAGAAGACTGCTTTCTTCATAGTCACTGCCGTAAAAACTTCAAATCTTACAAAGTTAGAAATGTTAAAACTTTTGTGCTGTTTTGCTGGATAGTAATGTTTTTTCATATATCTTTTTTTTTTCCCTGCTGCCTTAAATAAATTTATATTCATTCCCTTGGTGTAATTGTTAATCTCCAATGGGTGCCTGGCTTTTTCAGATAATGCTCTGTTTTGTTCAGTAATATATTGGAAGTATATTGTGACACCATGAAGTATGAAATAAATTGGTTTCATCATCAAGTAGTTCTGTATAGAGAGTTGCAGACTCTCCCTCAACTCCCCTTTTCAGTGAAGCCTGGTGGGCCCATTTTCTCTTTTTTCTTGGATGTTCTTTGTCTATAATTAGTGCAAGCACAGCAAATTCTTCAACAGAGAAATTCTTATTGATAAACCATATCAGTACTAAGAATTGGCACCAATGCATAGCATCCAACACTGATACTGAAAGTGCACCAATTCATCACACTTATAAGTGAATCGTCATCACTGATTCTAACCGAACAACTGATAACAGCACTGATATGTGTGAATGGACCTTAAATCAGTAAATATAAGTTCTGAGATATTTACAATGGTGACTGTTGAGATTGTGGTCATCTGAGTTGTGACACATTATAGTCCTGTAGGCAGATACTGAAATTTCTAAGAAACATGGTGCTTCAGTCTTCTGGGTTGAAGAATGCCGATTCAGGAATTGGTTCCATTATATAGGCAAGTTACAAAGAAAATGGTAGTGAGATCCAAGGAGAAGAGGTAGAGAAAGGAGCATGAATGTGGTCAAGGAGAAGAAAATTTCCAGCAAGTGGCTCTTTAAAGAATCACACTAATTTATCATCACTAGGGACTGGATTTTAATGCAAATGCATATTTCTTTCTTGCAACCAGAAAGAATGCTCGTTTGGATATACAGGGTGTTTCACGACTTTAGGGCATAACTGCAGGAGGTGATTTCCTAGGTCTTTGTGATCAAAAAAAGTGCATATAAACATGTGTCCGATTTTGGATGGTTCTGGAGTTATGACCGTTTGTTCATTCCCGTACACGCCCTCATGTGAACCGCGTCTATCATCTGGCAGGTTGATATTTTTAGCCAACTACAGACAGAGCGTTCTCATTATCTTGACACTTCAGAGGTACCTAAGGCATGGTGGGTTGGTATATCCGGCCACGACCAGTGTGGCGGCTACTGGTGTTCAGAACAGTTCTCATCTCGGTGCATCTGTTACGTTCACAATGCCATTTACATTTTCATTTGAGGAGTACGCAGATATGATTTATGTGTACAGGTTTTGTATTTAAGTACAGCTTTTTATTGCAAGTGAATCATTCAGTGATTACATAAAATGAACTTAAATACTTAAAAACTTAAATCGTATTGATTTGTTGGTCTTAAAATAATGTAAAATCAATTTTAATATTTGGTATAAATTTTTATGTGCATATTTTAGTGCATATTTCGGAAGTTTTTCATGCATAAATGCATACATATTTAAGGGATTATTAGGGCATAAATATCTGGTCCCTAATCATCACGCGTGGGGAAATGGAATAGCGAGAAAGGTGAGGAGCCATAAGTCAGCTGCTAGTATAACAAGCCTCTAAATTATTGTCATCATCCATGGGCACTTTCACTTCTATCAGCCATCATATCAGAGGTCACCCCACTCTGTTCTATTTGCCTCCAGATTATCTCTTTTTATTCACCTTCACCTGGCTTTTCTGCCTTGTTGATGGTTGTCCCATAGGTCGTTTTGGCTTTTGTCCATGTTAGTGTCTGACCTGAACTACTGAGTTACTGTTCGTCCATATAGCCTGTTCGAACTAATCTTTATTTTGATTTCCCTTAATTTTTCTTACTTCCTATGTGCTCAGGAGCACATCGTAGCATAGTTGGTTGAGGCACTATGTTACAAGCCGGTAGGTCTCGGGTTCAATTCCCGATGACGTCACTGGATTTTTTAATTGATCTTAGCCTTCCAGCCACACTATGGCCTTGGGGTCGACTGAACCTCTTAACACAAATGAGTACCAGGAATCTTTTTGGGGTTTAAAGGGTGGCTGGCATGTAATGCTGACTGTCTCACGCCACTATAGGTCTCCACGGCCTGTTACAGGCATAGCTCTACCTTACCTTTTTTACTGTATAATATTATATTTGTCTCATATCTTTTTTACTCTATTTGCTGTTGCTATTCCAGTCTTGTCAGTAGTCTGATCTCATAGATTTACAGTCTACTCAGCATGTATATGCAGTTATTACAATGAAATCGTTACCTTGAGAGTTTCTTTAAATTTTAGTTTTTATGCTTAGTGCTCTGTTGGATTTGAGGTTCTGGTACTGGTGATTGTGAAGAGTCCAGTCTTTTGCATTGTAATGCCTTGTAGTTCAGAGAGAGGCTGACTTTTCAGAGGAACATTTTCAGTAAGAGGTAATCTTAGCTCTTTGCCTAGCGGCCTCCATAGTCTAGGGGTGACGTTCCCACCTCGTGACTCAAGGTATGCGGGTTCAAACCCGGTGGAGGTCGTGGAATTTTTAAGGGCGGAAAAATTCAGGGAACAAGTCCTCCGGGAGGGACTTTAAGCCATGGGTCCCGTGTCGTAGCTTTACGGCACGTAAAAGAACCTCATGTCCCAAGGGGACCACTGAGCCAAATTCAGGACATTTCCCACCCAACAGTAGTCTCTTAACGCCTCTGGTAGATGGGGGAAGCATTGAGATACCGCTGAGCCAGTAGAGGCCGAACTCTCTGGCTGAGTCGGGACTGATGGCATGCACCAGTACCGGTAGGGAATAGAGACTGGTCGACTATCACAGGGGGACACACAATGGACCAACAGTTGGTCTAAGTGCATGGGGAAACCCACCCTCTCCAATACAATACAATAGCTCTTTGCCTGCTGCTGGTTTCTTGCTTGGCCTGCTTGTCTACCTCTCCTTCAGAATGTTGGGCTCATTGTGAATTAAATGACATTACAACCCAGAAGCTCATAATCTTAATGTAGTCATATTATTGACTATACACTTTAGAAATATTCTGCTTGGAAGGGGGTTAGTTAACAAGTCTGTCAGTAGGCAGACTAAAGTTGAATCACACGATGTGTGAAGGATGGATTGGAAAAAAAACTTTCAAGGAAATTGCCATGGTATAATTGGGGTACTGCTCCATCATCTGCCTGGAGGGACTGAGGAAAATCACAAAAATATCAGAATATCTGGTGTTCCAGCCAAGATTTGAACTGAGCATGTCCCAAATACAAATCAAGTACATTACTGCTACCCAAATCATTTGGTAACATACTGTTGGTTCTTATTGAGTGTAACGAATGTTGAAATGTAGGAGGAATGTCCCCCCCCCCAAATCTCAGTCTTTATTTTGTTTTATGTATGCGCAGAGGGATGAAACACAGAAAAGAGAAGAAATGGAGGAAATAGCAAGACTTCGGAAGGAAGCTGTCCATAAGGCGAATCCCATAAGACGCTACAAGCCACTAAAGATACTGAGTTCAGATAAGCCATTGACTGATCCACAAAGCCCAGCATTCTTGTCTCGCTCAAAAACAAATTAAAAGTAGTCTTAGAAACAAAAATTGCAGTATATATGATTTGTGTGGAAAACTAATGTAGTTGTATATTTTAAAATGTAGCTTAGAAGTGTAGGAATTTTTAAGTTTAGTGTGACATGTTTGTAGAGGAAATTGAAATTTTTTAACATGACCACAAAGTAATCTGGAGACATTCATGCAGTGAATAGTTCTAAGGAAAATTTTATTCCATTTTGGTGACTATATAAATTCCATGCTCCTTTAGTTCATAAGTTAACTTCATTGATTGGCCTTGTCTTGATCATTTGAGATTGGTGATGCCCTTTGAATTCTTTTTGGACTGCAAACTCCATCTGCTATGGGATTGAAGTTGTATCTTCATCATTTATTGATGTAGACTGTTAGATCATTAAAAATTTGCTACATTGTATTTTTAACATGCATCCAGTATTCATATGCCGATAAGAAATTTAAACATATATATGTGGGGCTTTACTACTGTAAAGTTTTCTACACGGTGTGTAATGTACCATGGTTCATAGAGTAGATGGGCTTTAATATATGGCATACAGTATAGAAAAGTCACTTCTGAAATTTTTAATTGTATTAAAATATGTATGAAACTACTCAAAATGACTGCAGCCAAAGATAAAATGTGAAGAATGAGTTGTACCTTGTAGATGTAAGATTTGATGTTCCATTTACTATGACAGACTGCGTGATCACANCCGGTTCTCACGGTCTCTTCGCTTGCAGATTTCTTATATTTTTTCTTCTACCCTGAAGATGGAGGCGATACGTTCCTCCGAAACGTCGGTTAACACCACATATACACGGTGCCAAATCCCAGAAGACTGCTTTCTTCTTGACAATTTGTTACAATTCAGAATATACATATGTAGTAAGAAGAGAAATATGCAATTTCATCACACCGTGTAACTAGTTGCACCAGCTCAACCTTCTGTTACTTGGTGTATGTTTAAAGTATAGTTGAGTTATATAAATAATATGAAAGCTCAACTCAAGAAGTGTTATGAAGTGCTCATAAAGTTCAACCTGGGTGCTATGAAAGACTTGGGCAATGTTGAACCAATATTCAACTTCCTGTTACCCTTTTTGTAGAACATCCTCATCATCGTCAATTTTTGCACAGGCCTTTGTGATCCATTGCTTGAGCTCCTCTAATGTTGTTGGCAATGGAAGGACATAAACAGCATCTTTAACAACCCCCAGAAAAAATCCATGGTTGCTAGATCTGGTGATGTCTAGGGCCATTACTGCATTGACATTGCTACAAGAAAGTCCATTTCGTGTTCATGTGACTGATGGTGGGGTTTTCACTCCCACTGATCTACAAATTGTGCTAATTTGCACATTCCAACAGATGAAATATTGCCATATCACTGAAGGCTATTTTGTGATACCAGTGTTATAACTGCCTACAGCCCAAATTCACAGCAGGCTGCAAGGTAGGTGCCAAGTTGCAACTTCTTGAGTTGATGTTTCTAACTGGCATGTATATAACTATACCTTGAATGTTCTTTGAGTAATAAAAGAATAAAATAGTAGAGCTCATTTATGGATACTTTGTATATATACAAACTATTTAAAAGCTGAGTTTGAGGTCTCTTAGGTTGTGACACTGTAGTCTTGTAGACAGATGCCAAGATTTTGGAGGAATGTGCTGCCTTCATCTTCAGGGTTGAACTGTTTACATTTGCAGAAGTGTGTAACTGTGTAATTCAGTTCAGAGCACTTGATTGGGCATAAGAATGGCCTCTACTATATGTATTAGCTGAAATAGATGTTCCCAGTTTCTTCACCTTGCACTCGACATAGGCAACAGACTCCATTTCCTTCCTGTCAACAAAATGAGCCTCACATAGCCTTTGGTGTTCTCCCACATGTGGTCATTTTTCCATACACAAGGGATCTGAATCTTCTTATGAGTTAAGTTCTGTTGATTATCCTGAACCAAAACAAGCAGTAAGTATGGATTCCCTACACTCACTTCCAGGAGCCAGAAGAACAATTGTGTCATTTCTTGCTCCTCATAAGGCAATGAATTGCTCATGGCAATTGATCCCTCCCACATTTTAAGTGTAATCGAACTACTATCACATTTGGTTTCATTATAGGAGGTTTGTTTCGTTATTTAGAGGGCACTTTTTTCATCTCATTTCTCCTTTCTGTGTGAAAAATACTGAGCATTGTAACCAAGCATCTGTGTCACACTGAGTTCAGCAGGATCGATTTTCATTTTCTGTTGCAAAGATCCAGTGATTATGCTTTATGTGTTCGCAGGTTTGCCTTAACAACAGCACTTTGTTATTTGCTTCAGCCAGGTCTTGGGGTGGAGAACAGACAGTGATGCTGCAGCTTTACCTTTCCTGACTTTGCTCTAGGGTGGCTTATTGCAGCTTCATCTATTGTTCCATGATGTATCCATCCTTGATCCTGTCCATGTGTTGTGATTTTTCTTGCCATTAGTACCTTCTATACCATCTGGCTTGAGACTTTCGTCTGACGCACCAAAACACACGCATTATACTATTGCAGATCCTTGATCAGTGGCTGTGCACTTGTGTGACCTCTCAGCAACTTCACAGGTGCTTGCTGCATATTATTCCCATTAGACTTGCCTGTTCCACTTTCCATATCATGGTCGTTCTGTGACCTTTGACTTGTCAGATGTGAGAGGTAAATTATCTGCTCTTATGTATTGCTGACATTTTGGCAGACTCATCTGCTTATTGAGGTGTATGGTTGTACTAAATGGATTGTTTGTTCAAGGTCTGACTGGTTGCACATTCGTATAAGAAGGCCAGGTCTTGTCATATTGACTCCCAGAGCTCACCATGTGTACAATAAAACTGTATGCCATATATTAAGCTCCTCTGTACATGTGGTCAACCTGGATAGTATTGTCTCTGCATACACTCCTTGAGCACTGTAAGACTCAACCGTCCTGTTGCTGTGGAGATTATGTGCAGAATTTCACATGGCTGGGAGACAGGAAAGTCTGTTGCATTTTGCTGGGTACCTGGATATACAGGCCTGCCCAGCAAAGAGGCAGCTAACAACTGCTAAGGAGGCAACCTTGCATGAAGACTTGAAGCAGATTGTCATAGGCAGTGATTTGTATGCCTATCTTCACTGTATTTTATTTTTGTGGCAATAAAAACTGGACCAATACGCAGGATAAGTTGTGAACACTGAAGCCATCCTTCAGCTTGTCAGGAAGGAGAATTGTCCTGCTACCTGCCTTTGGGTTGGGCATCTATTTGTAACCAGAGCATTGTCCAGTAGGAATGCCCACATTAGGCAAAGATTGCCAAACTTTCCATTTTAATAGCACATTACCCAGCATCTCAGAAGATGATTGCTATGACATATAATGTTATGGAATTCCTTTGTGGTATAAGGGTACACAAGTTTATGTAATTGACTATTTTTGTTCTCCTGTTTGCATCATTATATCTTCATTATTGTTCTTAATGTAATATTTGTTGTTTCTGATTACAGTTCTGCACAGTTTGTCAGATCATTTCCTTAGTTCTTGATGGTTCTGTCTCCACATTATTTGGAATATGAATAGTGAACGTACAAGAGACAGAACAGAAAGGAATTCCCTCCCTCCCAAATTTCTGTTGCAATTTTACTTAGCTTAATCATAGATGTACAGCACCTATGTCCTAAGGAATTGAATGCATTTATAGCGTGGAAAGTGATGAAACATTCCTCATTTTATCATCAGAAACTATATCACTGTCACCGTAGGTACATAAAATATACGTTTGTGCTAAATAAAATTCAGCATGGAATAGGTTAGCTGTCAGAAGGTACAGTGCATGAAGATGTTGAAGGAAAACTGCTGAGCACATGAAATATAAATTTATTTTTCTTCATAATATAAATGCATTCTTGAATGGTATAAAATACCTACTCTAAAATACATTTTTAAACCTATGTCTTGTGAACTGGAATAGCTCAATTAGTAAAGATACTGGCTGTGGGGTGAAGAACCAGGGTTTCATTTCTGTCAGAGGCAAGTACTGCTGTTTTCTTGACCATGTCCAGACCATCTTTGGGAGTCACCTAACTTCCTACCAGGGGGTACCACATATTCTTTCTTTGCCTAGTCAGCTGAGTTATATATGGTAATACGATTGTAGTTAATGTGGCATGCCATTTACTTAGAGTAATTGAAAAGCCATGCAACCCATTGAGAAAGTAACTGCAATGGATTAAGGAGACTTACACAAATAATAACAAAAAAAAAGTCATAAACATTATTGAAAAATTAAACCTCGGCTACTAAAAAGAAGGAATTTCGTAGTTTACTGAATACCTACCAACTTCTTATGGAAAATTGCTGTCAGTAAACTTAATTAATTGGTTAGATAGTTAATTTAAGTTTTGGTTTGATTTCTTTAATTCTTGACAGTTATGAAAAACCAGTGCATTTGGTTGACTTTAACCCAGTAAACAAGTAGGATAAGTATGATATTCAACTGTATGAAGAACCATGCATTATAAACCAAGTAAAGTGGATTCTATTTGTGGATGGTAATATAGGACATTGTTCAAAGTAAACTCAAGAGTTAAAGTGAAGCATATCAACAGAACATATCCACTTTTGTAGCATCTTGTATAACTTGATAAATAAGTGTGGTTAGATATTCCATGTATGGTACAGGGTTTACCGCTTGTTTGATTTTATGGTCTGTAAATCATTGCCACAGTACAGTATCAAAAGAGAAGGTTTTAGATAGCATCTGTGAAAAACTCCATGGGTTATGGTGTGTTTGATGCAGGTTACTACAAGAATGACCAAATTCTGTCTGATTAAATTTTCAAGCTTGGTCAAAATGTGGTAACATTTTCTTCCAGTGAAACGAAATTAACTTTTCATCTTTTGTTCTCCTTGAATGCAAATTATAGGACAATTTGAAGTCAAGTTGAATTTTAAAAGAAACTAAGCGTGCATAGATATGCGAACAGCTAAGCATCCAAATCAAGCATTTTATATACCGTATTTACGCATGTATAGGCCGCAGCACAATTTTCAGACAGAAATTATAGAAAAAATAATTTTCTTGGAATATTATTTCAGGAGTATTACACCCTGTATTACTAATTATGAATATAATTTTTTTTAAATGAAGTGTGATTTCGAATATAAGCCGCACCCCAGTTTTCCTCTTGAATTTTTGGCAAAAAATGTGCAGCCTACACATGCGTAAATACGGTATATTTATTTGGGGCATGACTGTGGGACATCTGTAGTTGATAATATGCTTGTACAGTTACATCAGATAGTGTTTCCTAGAAAATCTGAACAGAACTGTTCCTGGAATCAGTGATGATGATGTCCATGTTATTAGTAACTGCTATGCCAGAAACCCAGGCAAACTTTCCAGGACTTGATCCTCGGCCTCCAAATATTCTGACAAGAGTGCCATTTGGTCGGAAGATTTGAACTCTTGCATTTCCACTATCCCCAACAAGGATGAAGCCAAGATGATCCACAGCAACACACTCTGGTGAGTGGAACTGGCCTCTAGCTTCACCCATTGACCCAAATTCACTCAATCTCTCTCCTGTAAGAGAGTAGGTCTGAAAGAGCAAAATAAATGAGTTTAAAGTCTGAACAGGAATGAAGATGGCTCAGCTATTAAAATGACTGGATTATTTATTTACAGTTTATTTCTTGACACTGTATCTGAATATAAAGTGTCAAATGGCAGGATCATTGGTGAATAATGATATAGGAAGACATGATCATGGCCAAATTTAGTTACTGTCCTGGCATTTTTCTGGAGGGTTTGAGCAAAACCATGAAAAACTTCAGTCAAGATAGTTGGTGTCCTGATGGGACTGAAATTGGGCACCCTCTGAGTATGTCAGAAGCATTACAGCTTTACTAGGATTGTTTGGTGCACGTTATGCTCTTGTCTGTAGGTAGTCATGTGTGAATAATCACAGTTGTCTGATATTTAATGAAGAGACATCGAAGATCTTTTGGTTAATTCCAAAAGTAACTGTGTATACAGTAGGCTATGCATCACAGAGATACAGCTTTGTGTTCACAGAACCTTTCATTGGACCTTCTTCTGGGCCAGTTGAATCAGACCACATGGGCCTAATTACTTTGTGTCCTACCCTTTTGATTCTTCCTGTAACCTTCCTAAGAGTTTAGTATAAAGTATGAACTTCCTCATTGTGTAATTTTCTCTAGTTCCTCAGACATTTCATGCCCTTATAAAACCAGATATTCTGGATTGAATATTTTCTGTTTTTATTTATTTTTACAGTGCATTGCATTGCATTGCATTGCATTTCATGGATCCAAAGTTAGTCAAAATTACTGTAGGTGGAATATGTCATATAAATACAAAACATATGTTCTGACCCAATGGAGTTCTCACACAAGAGAAACCAAGAATACACAGTGACTACACAGAATGCTATTTAAAGATACATAAGCCATTTTTCTTTCTTTCATATCTGAAATTTGCAGAAGTAATGAAGATTAGTTTGCTTTATTGGCTGTCAAAATTGCACATTTACTCACTCTCATGATCCCTTCTAGTTTCTATCATGCAGTTCCTCAGTAAAACCAAATAGTTAAGATGATTTCACCTTAATTCTTTTATTTCCAAAATCAGCAACCACAATTCTGTCCTGTGAAACAGCAATTCCTGTTGGTTGGTTGAACTCAGTGCGTTTAAACTTATGCCCTGGTAATGGATCCAAAATCCCCAAAATGTAAATTACACTCCCATCACAGGGATGAATGATCTGCAAAAGCATCAAGATTAACACGTATAGGAATATGTAATTAACATTTTACGTTCCATCAGTTTTCCGAATACAACTTCTTGTTTTGAAGACAAGGCATTAAACACAGAAGTGGACTAAATATTGGAAATGTTTGTGAAATCTGAATAATTTTCTATGTCCACAGATTCAAACACTTGCCTGAACCCTGTCATTCCCTGTGTCACACACATAAAGCAGTGTTTCATCATCCTTTCCATTAGGCCCAGGTCCAGATGTAATCCCCTCAGGCGACTGGAAGTGGCCTTCAGCGTGGCCCTTCTTTCCTAGTTGCCGCAAGTATGTACCTTCAGCACTGAATACATGCACACAGTGGTTCCACTTGTCTGTGAGAAGAGAACTATGTTTTGAACATGCAGGGGATTTGACTGATTCATTTTAGTATTAATTGGAAAGAATGTAATTTTTCTTGTTATATAGTTTTCCCAATTCAGCTGTGTATTTGATGTGTTTCATTCTGGTCCATCACACTAATATATCATGAAAAGTTAAACAGTTCTGTCTAGTGTGACTAGTGAAGATTTTTCTTATTTCAATTATTCATGCCCTTACATGTTTCAGTCTTCAGAGACCATCATCAGAAGGACACCTTTACATCAATATAGTTAGAAGCCACTGTTACAATACATGTTGTAAAAGTTAAAACGTATACATACAATATTAATAATATAAAATCTAAAGTCTTTACAACTACAGCGGCTGTTCCAATACGTTAAAATATTTATAATTTGTTTGTTAAGGCTCTACTGGACTTCGTAAACCAAGCAGGTTCGTGACGTCCCTCTTATTATTTCTTTTGATGGGCCGAATGTGTGCCGCCTTGTCGTTCTCAAGAAGAGGGTTCTTGGATATTGTCCTGTATGTGTTTATGGCACACTGTCACTGTCACTGTCACTTTACCAGTCACACTAGACAGAACTGTTTAACTTTCCAACTGTGTATTTTTTGTTTTGAATTCCTGAAGAAACTTCCACAATTCACTGACTTTGAAAGCAGTGTAGTTCTGAAGAATACTGTCTTCTGTGATGTGACAGACATTTTGGAGTAGCATACCATCTTCATCTTCAGGACTGATGAGTAAGTTGAGCACTCATACTTGCTTGGCTTAGTCTTCGTTCCAGAAGACTGAGGCAGTATGTTCCCCCAGATAATTGGTAAACTTCTGCTAGACTACATTGTGTCACATCTCAGAAGATACTCTTTATATGCATTACTATGAGAACTTCAGATATCTCACAGTAATTTTGTTTTCCCATCTTCTGAATTTCTGTTATAATGTATTCTCCCATTTTTCAATACATCTGACTAGCAGGAGGTTTTCTCCTCTCCTCCAAGTCAATTGGTGTTTAGGCCTCAAGGTTGAAACAGTACCTGTAGCTTAGAGAAAGAGAGTGGTGGAGGGTAGCTGAGAACACAGTTCTTGAATCGGAGAGATCTAAAGTACACGAACTGTCAGATATATAGAATGAGGAAGCACAAAAATTGTGTTCGTTGTCTAATTTCATTACGGTGATTAAATCGATGGGAATAAATCAAGCAGATTTTGTGGTGTGCATGAAAGAAATAAATGCATACAGAAGTTCTGTTATAATGTAATTGTCATGGGAAAATACCACTTCAGAGACCAAAATGAGGATTTGAAGTTACAATTGAATAGAATATTAGGAAATTAGTTAATGAAAATCTGTGAATTGGATAGAGCAGACTTAGGGTCTAATGGCAGAATTTTGTGATAACCTCTCAGGTAAATAAAGCAGTCTTCAGTAAATAGAATAAGAGGACCAAAACAAATAAATGTGATGAAAGCTCAAGATTTTGGATAACCTCCCTTACTATTTGTCATGGCCAGTTACAGTGTCTGCATGGTCTAAGGCCGTTTGTCATGAACAGATATGTTACGCTCTGACCTTAGGTTCTCATAGCAGTGACTACAAAAATGACTGTCTTCTGGGATGTGACTCTGTGTAGTCTGATATTTACCGAGGTTTGAAAGGAACATGGCAATAACCACCATTCCTGATTATGGTTGAAAAATGAAATATGGAGTTCCATTATCCGAAATGTCGATAAAGGTCTGCAGACCGTAGTTATGTACTGACATGTCAGAGAAACGTGTATTATCTTAAGGATATACGAGTATCTCCAGGATAGAAGAATGCCTCACATCTCCAAAGACAGTAGTGTTCAGATAAATAATTGCTAAGAGTGAAATTGAGTACTGTATGTTCCACTGAAGACAATGTGTAGAACAAATGACAGCTNGATGTGACTCTGTGTAGTCTGATATTTACCGAGGTTTGAAAGGAACATGGCAATAACCACCATTCCTGATTATGGTTGAAAAATGAAATATGGAGTTCCATTATCCGAAATGTCGATAAAGGTCTGCAGACCGTAGTTATGTACTGACATGTCAGAGAAACGTGTATTATCTTAAGGATATACGAGTATCTCCAGGATAGAAGAATAAACTCTTTTACCTTGAAGATGTAGAGTGCTAAGAGTGAAATTGAATATTGTATGTTCCACTGAAGACAATGTGTAGAACAAATGAAAGCTACTACTTATATAGGTTCTATAACATAATTAGTGAACATACACACACAGTTTTGCCGAATGTTTTCTATTGCCACGTTCCACATCTGATAGGTCAGTCGGTATATCGACTAGGCTACTGGTCGGACGGCGAAAGAGTCGCAGTTCATTTCCCGACAGGAGCAGGACATTTCTCCCCTTTCCATGAAGTCCAGATCATGTCTGGAGCCGACCCAGCCTTGCATGTAATGGGTACATGAGCTGTTTCTCTTATGGTAAGACGGCTGAAGCGTGAAGGTGACAACTTACCTCCATCTATTGACGAGGTTAAGAATAGTGGAGCTACACCTTCATTCCCCCATACCTCTTCATAGCTTGGTGCTTAATTAAATACACGGGTAACTTTGCTTTTACCTGATGTGTGGGGATAAATTTGTTTGTGCTCGTACGCGCAGAAACTGCGCCATGTCCGAATGAGTTAGAACTTGTTCCAGAAACTAATCGCAATTTTTATCTCTCGCTCTACACACGCGCACACCCACACAGGCTCGCATTGTTTTTCTAAAAGGTGCGTGATTATATCTTTCCTTTTCACACAATCAACTTTTACCGCCTAATAACAGCGTTTAGATGTTATTAATCATATATTAATGTGTACCACGGCTCAACAAGTATCACGACTTTTCTTACCTCAATACAGAACTTTCCTGTTAACAGAATTTGGTTGCAGGAAATTACTTCGGGTCAGAACAAGTCATATTTTTCAATGGTTTTCAACAAGGTTTTAACATCTAACTTCTTAAAATGACGACTTTGTTCCGTTGCAAACTTTTACATGATTCAAGCCCACGATTAAAACCATGTGTGTATGATGCCCATTTCTTGACAGCTGAAAGAAAACCTGTTACGTAGACTTCACGGAGGAACTTGGAGAAAGCAATTCCGTGTGGGTAGAGCATGTTGGCGGCACTCAGTTGGTGTACCAGCTTCATTCTGTTGCGGTCTATGACCAGGACTTGCCGCCCTTCTGTGCCCGCGATGTACATGTTCACCTCTTCGTCCCAAGGGGCCACTGCAACTCCTGCTGGACGCTGCAATACTGAGCGGCCGAGGCTTACGCGAGGCGTGAAGGCACGTTCCCTGTATTACAGAATTCCGTTAAAGTGCATCTACTCTATGAACCACAATACGGCATATCCTGTGTAAGTAGTGTAGGCCCTCTTTATAGGGCGGATTCGCGTATGCCGTGGCTTTGATCATGTCCCTCAACACGACTACAGATGCTTTAAACCGTACGCATTTCTCTGAGACGTTTTGTTTATAATACAAAACTGTACTGCAATATAACTTGATGTAGTGTGTTAAAGGTAACGTAAGGATGTCCCTGTGCTTGACTAATTAAGCACTACGTCATGAAGGTGTATGGAGGGTGTGTGTATAGATCCACATTTTCTGAACATCGGCACTAGCTGGAGATGAATGGTCAGCTTCACACCCCGGCCGCTTTACCCCCGGTACCCATTGGATAGGATGTTGAGTGAACCCCAGAGCCGGTGTGGACGACGTGGAGAAAAGAAAATTCTTGACCATACAGGGACTCGAAATCCGGCTCCCGCTGTAGTGTGTTGGGAGGGCAAAGACGACAAGCCCACAGTCCGCAGCGAATGGAAGTGTTGATTGGAGCTGACAGGAGGATAAGGATAAACAGTTGAGCAACTGCATCAGAGCGTTCCAATGGTTCAGCATACAGCATAATGCTTGTTCGTTTGAAGTTTTGGAAAGTGTGCGCCCGGTGGGTGCCCAGAGAACTGAAGGATCGAGAGAAAAATGAAGCGAATGGAGTGTGTCCTTGCAACATCTCTTACGGTATGCAGATGAAGAGAAGATTTGCTTAACAGGATTGCTACTGGGGACGACGAATCTTGGGTGCATTACTACTAACCCGAATCAAAGCGTGCTTCAGCGCAGTGGATACATTCCAGTTCACCTTCAACCAAAACGTTTAAGGTTACGTATAGGCCATCATCCGGAAAGGTTATGTTTATCGTGTGTTGATATCTTCAGGAAGTACTGTTAACCCATTTTCGGAAGCTCCGGGATGCAATTCGCAGATAAAGATCGGGCCAACTGCCAGACCCCCTGCAGCCCGGACTTGGCTCCTAGTGACTTCCATCTGTCTGATGTGATAAGAACACACTGCTGCCATACGTTTCGCTCATGAAGAAGAGGTTAAAACAGAGGTGAGGAACTGGCTGAGGCAGCAGTCAAAATACTATGCTGCGGGTTCCAGCGCACGCACGATGGGACAAATATTGGAGGATATGTCGGGAAGTAAATGCTTTTTCTAGGTTCGAATATCATATTTTTTACGTTTCATATCCACTTGTGACCCATTTACTGACATCCTCGCAAGTAAACTAGGCTTATATTAAATCAAAATGGCTGAAAATTGTAAATATATGTCAGATGTTAATGAAAAATTGTTACATGGAATTTCAGCAAAGTCTAGACAGTTAGTGGAGAAGTCTCTTCATGGCCTTGCGTAAACTGAGATCTGTTATAAGCCAATAGGAGTGAAATTACGAAATTGGCTAACACGTTTCAGAGGAAGTCCCCTATAACTAATTCAAGACAATCTGTCCAAAGGCTTAATTCCTGAAACGAGTTCGCACACACACAAAAAAAAAAAATTGGAGCATATGACCCTCACTCAATTCGTTATTTTTTACTTGTAAAGTATTACTACTACTAATACTATTTTGCAATTGTTAATAGTCGAAGCATGATAGAAGAGTAGGCCCCAGAACTTCTTCGCACCTGTAATGATGATACAGGCTATCCGGTGAATTGACTTGAGCAATATTACGCACTGTGTCGTCGTCAAACACGTCATCAGCCTCTTCCACCTCACCTGCGGCTTTGCTTTCACCTGCCATGTCGATTCGGAAGTTGTCCGCGTCAAAAGTCGGACGCGCTTCGCTCCAGTGTGACACCTCGTCCAGAAGTGCAGATGTGGTGCGGTGTAATTGAAGGAACATCGCCACCTGACGTAACAATTATGCATCAGTTTTCGACAAAACGTCTGTTCGTAACCTTGCGGACCCCCTACTGCAGTCACCCCGTCTGTCCGTCTGTCTGCAACCATGAAACAAGCCTAGAAATATTGCTCAGCGGAATTCCATTCTATTTGTTATGGGGTGATTTTATAGATATTTGTTGACACGTCACAGTTTGGAGAAAAGTCGGCAAAAATAATGGGCACTTCGTGTGATGGCCTATATTCGTTTCTGCACTTATGTTGAGCATAACTCGTTAAACGTTACAGGGAAAAAATATTTCAGATAAAATATGTAGGAACAAATGAAACACACATTGTTATGGGCAATATAATATTTCCAGAAGTCTTATGGTTTCCGGGATCATCAAATAAGAATTCTTACACTGATCATACATTTCCGAACCTGCGTATTAAACTGTCACCAGTAGTTTTCTGGACATACCCAAAGATTACCGAAGTCTCTTATTCTCTATAATAATTAAACGAAGCTTCCTCTTACTTGAATATAGGTAATATACTTATATATGCATATAAGTCTAAATGTTCTCTTACACAAATATATATTTAATTAATTAAAATGTAGTTTTACGTAAGAGAAGAAGTATTTTCTTGCTTTATCTGAGCAAACATTTGGGGGTTTTCCCGAAATATTGGTAATTACTACTACATTACACGGTGTCACGTTCCAAAAGACAGCAGACTCCGCCCCAGTAATATTTGGCGAAGAGTTAGAGTACGGTATAATACTATATTATTTTAATTTTACAACCTTCTTTTTGTTTTCTGAGATGGCATCGAAGTCTGAACCTTTGGAAACCGTTTGCTCTGTGTCTCTTATCCTCCCCAGAAGATTCTCTACGGACTCCTCTCCCTGTTTCAGCAGTTCATTAGCCCTGATGTTCAGCTTTTCCTCTTCTACTCTCAGAGTTTGTATTTTCACCTCAACAGCCAGATTGATGTGCTGCTTCAGCCTTTTGCAGACGTCCTGTGGAAAACAACATGTTATACTTCAGATGTTTGCCTCATGATGTCCATCCCGGATATTTTCAAGTGTCTGCATAGACAATACGGAAGAATAAAGTGGGAAGGCCCAGATCTCATAGCTGGAGGTATAGGAATTATTGAATTTGAGGTTCTCATGTCGGTGACTTTTATGTATCATTAAATTCTCGAATGAGACACCATGTATTCCAGCACTTTGGAAGGAAACTGCTGCCTCCTTCTTCAGGTAATAACTCCGAAAATACACGCTTCAGTTTCCCCGAAATATTGACGTCTGCCCATCAAACAATCCTGCGTCATGATCCAGAGAATGTAATGTTTACAATCGCCGTCTTGAGGCATTAATGTTGCCTCTCCCTCACAACTATCACTTCCTAATGCTGTTATAACTCCCTGTCGTGAATAATACAAACATGATGTCTGTTCGAAATTCTGAGGTGGAGGCAACATTAATGCCGAAGAGTTATGTCTTACAAGTGCCGGGTCGGAGAAGAATCCGATAACTAAAAGACCGAGGATGTGATCATGTGCTGCCTGGAAAGGCTGTCACACAACTCAGTGGACGGTGATATATATGTAGCGAACAGTGGTGAAATAAGGACCAACAAGGGGAGACCCCAAGAAAGTTAGAGAAACCTCTGGTTCAGTGCAGTTTCGTTCATCATGAATTCCAGATAATGTATCACGAATTAGGACCCAAGGACCCGCGGTAGGAAGCAAAAAGTCTACCCGCATGGTTGTGACACGGCCAGTACTGTGACATTCTAGCAGATGTAAAATATAGCTCATGTAGTGGACGGTGTCCAGTATGCCAGAGAACCAACGGCTCTGAAACGCGTGTGTCTACATACCCTAAAATCTTGTATACGATGATCTAGCGTTTCCTTGGCTCCACTTAACTGGTCCAGAAGACTCGGCAACTGTGACTTGAGTTCCGTAATGTGACTTGCCCAACACACGGTACAAAATGCCTACAAACATAGAGAGCAGGGTCATGTAAGTTCGAGATGTAATGTCATCGGCACAGGAAATAGAACTCGTCGTGTAGGTTTGTTCTTATCCTTCAGAGCTAAAATAGTGTTATCTTGGTATCCTTTTCAGAACTTGGATTTTGAGCGCTGACATCTGTCACAAGTACGTCAACTATTATTCTGCAAATGTCTGCACATTTCATTTAAGAAATGTGAGATCAGTCTCAAATATTAGGAAGGTCGTTACTTCTTCCAACTGCTATCACAATGCAAAAAGCACGTCATGTGAAGAAAGTGTAGAGACAGATATTCAGTGTTCTGCAAACTAACGGCGCTGTGGATAGGGACTCTTCATGAGTTAACGCTCTAAAACTAGGCGAATATTATATATACCACCTGCTGGGACGCTTAAAATTTCTGCATTTTTTTTTTCATGCAGTGTATTTCTGTGTGCCGTATGATTCTGAAAATAAGCAATGATCATTTCCCTCTCCTTGCACTCTGTAATGGAGACGTAGTGTATTTACTTCGAGGTAGGAACTTCATTTTAAGCAGTATTTAGTTGAGTTCATGAACACTCGTGATTAACGCAAAATCGAAAGAAATCTTCTTAAAAAGAAGGTACAGGTAAAAAGTGGTTGGCGTAATACCACCAAATTTTATATATCTGTACTAAGTTTGTTCATTTCTTATCAAAATATACACACGAAATTAACTTTTGTAGGACAAATGTGTATACACTACCACATATTGCAACAGCAAAAATACTCGTACATACCAACATTGAGATTCGTGTATTTGAGTGCCGGTCTGCTGACTGTCATCTCCATCAAGGTTTTCTGTGGCTTTCCTTACGCCTAGAGCAAACGCAAATTGGTACCAAAATTCTACATTGCACTGACTGCCTTTCACGTAGACTTTTCAATTTGCGCCTTATTTCAGCTATTCCAATGTTAATGTCAGCATACCGATTTAAAGCAGCAGATGAGATGGGGATACAAGAATATACAGAAAGCTCCATCCTCCCAATTTAGTGGCTTTCTTCTGTGGTTTCGTTACAGAATGCTCTACTCTCACCTGTCGACAGTGCTGGCACGACGAAGCGCTCCCTACAGTCTGGCATCTGCTGCATCTCTGGTCCCCCGCTCCGCAAGCGATGTCCTGCTGGAGGACTGTCAGTAGCGAGTCCAAGTAGAGATTAGGAGGCAGCTCCACCACGCCGTCAGGACCAGTTGTCCGCAGAGGAACCTGAAGTCCACAGTCTGGACAGTCCACGGCTGAAATCATAGCGTTTTTACAACGCTTGTTTTCGTAAGTACGAATAACAACAAGATTGAAAGTGCGTAAGCCTCTCGAACAATGCAGTACACAAAATTAAAAATGTCGTTCTTTGAGATGTATTAGTAAAGCAGATTTCAGAGTAATGCCGAGGGACCTGACCGCGGCGGGATCGCATCTTCATGCACCCGCGCCTCTTTCTTTCTGTCGAAATGTCGAGACCTCATTTTCGCGAATTTTTGAGAGATCGCTCTTCTGGTAACGAAGGCTGATGGCGCTCTCGAAGATCCTACAGCACCATATACGAGTGATGTGCCCATAAAATGAGCATCAGTTAGTCAGTCTGACAGTTATCAGCTCATTTCTCAGTGCATTGCAGTGTAACGGTGCAGACGAGTAGCATAGAAGAGTTTTTCTCGAACTTTGTGAGACCGCGGCCCGGTAGAGAGCCCCGTCCCAACAAATTTACTGGTAAATACCTTTCCAATTATTTAATGTTCGTACATTAAACTAACATTATGGCATAATAATAAAGAGAATTCTTACGCATAAAAGAACCCTCGTTGGTGTCTCCACCTTATCGTGGTGAGGGGGTTTGAGTATGCCAAGGACCCTGAGAGCTATACCAGCGGTAGCGTAGCTACTGGCAGGGCCTCCCTTGCTGGACAGGTCAAAGGGTAGGCATCAGACGAAGAGACACACCAAAAACCAAAAACTGATGCCGGAAGCAGCGTCATCAGCAGCGACTTGAAGCACAGAGCAATTGATGCTCGAGATGGTTCAAGTTCGTATAGCAACAGGCGTGACAAGAGTGGTTTGAACGGCTGTTGTACTGCGATGTGGAAAGCAAATGGAAAAACTACCACATTGTCACATTTCCAGGATAGTCTCTTTCCAAAAACAGAGATACCATGTATGCGAGATGTTTCTTCTGGAGACAAAACAAACTGGAGGGGCAGATATAAGTGCCCAGAAGACGAGGAAGAAGACGGAAGAAGATGCTGGATGACCTTGGGGACAGAAGATGATATTTCAATCGAAGGAGAAAGCTTGAGATCGCATTAAGTGGAGGAACTGTTTTGGAAGAGACTGTGGACCTGTCGTCTGACAGATTACTGATGAATGAATGTGTACAGCGTCACATGTTGACAAATATCAAATTACATTTAAATTTGACTTGGTTCATCCTGGCCCCTTCATACTAGTAATATTATAAAGGATCATTAACGCCTTCCAGTGTGATTGATAAATGTTGTTTTTTTTTTAATCTACTAACCTTTACATGTTTCGGTTGGAGCGACGTTCAGAAGGTCATTATCAATGCATACGGTACTATTACAATGCCATAAATATAAAATATTATCCTTTAATAATTACTATGATGTGCTTGAATTATTATAATTAGTCTATTTACAAGTATGGTTTTAGAAACTTTTTGTTAAAATCTAGACCCAGTTTGGTTCGTCTCCTTTATACTTCTTGTTAAAGGAAGATGAATGCCTACCCCGTTGTGGTTCTGTTGTCCTAAGAATCCAAAGGAGAATGATAACCAGAAGACTATGTTCGACATCATGACATAACATCAGTACACTCCCACGCAAACTTCATGAGGCACAAGGGGTATAAATACGCGATTCAACACACGTTTGAGCGCTATAACAAACAGCGTGGCCTGTACAACTGTACAACACTAAAGGTGGATTAAAAACACAAAACTGATATTCAAATAAATTCAGGATTATATAAATAGTACATAATACCCATAATATACGTATTTGCGGAGTCCTATTCTTCAAATAATTTGCCTATGAATGTAGCAGTGTGTCGACAATAACTTATTGCCCGCCACATCCTTAATTTTAGTAACTAAACCCGAATTGCTACTTGTAAGCAGGCAGCACCGTCACTACGAACTCTCTCTTCAATGAAACCATTTAAAGCTTTGAAAATTTCACTGCTGGCAGTGTGCGTAGGTAATATAGAGACAGTTAAAATGTCTTCATTTATGTAACTTTCATCATGGTCAATACACGTACATCGCACATGCGTAAGTAAAATAATGCTGTTTTGAATATCTGTAGGTTCGTCCTGTTGTAATGCAAAAAAAGAAATTAGATTTTTTTAATTTTTTCAATTAGTTGCGTTTCTGTATCTTCTGCCATATCAGATACCCGCCTTATAACTGTCATTCGACAGTGACGGAGCCTAAAAAATATTTTAAACTCAGAATGGTATATATTTCTGATACCCCTGGATTGACAGTCTATACATTTATGCTTTATTTTAGGGCGCTGTCAGTACCTAAGGCTATATAGCGTCTAATGGTGGAAACATTAATGAGCAATGAATGGAAAGAAACTGCCATTTTCCTGGAATGGCTGAAGGAAGCCACAAACGATCTCAATCTCCGAGTCGATACTTGAACTCATGACTTCTAGAGTACGAAGTAGGAGTGTTAGAGACTACCAGTGCACATGCTGTGTAACCCTCAGACCCGCTGCGATATAATTAACCTGTTCCAGCCTGCATATGACGTAGGAGCTGTTCTTTGGGCGGAAAAAGGCTAATCTCTTGTCAGACAATAATTTCAACCGCAAAGTCGAAGTATGTAGTTGCAGACTTCCAGCAGACATAATTTACGGCAGTAAAACTAGCCGAAATAAGAATCATCAGATAATTCACTCGCCAAGCAAAGAATGTGACGAAGTGTCTAGCAAATATAACTGTCAGTAAATTCTGTTTCGAGGCGGACGTTTCCGGAGTTCCGTGTCGAATAATAACGAGATCTGGATTGCATCATTGTATTTATTGACACTATATTACAATCACTCTTAGTTACAATCATAACAGCTTGGAATCAATGACTGTCTTAAGACTCGCTCCATTCCTGACTGAACTACGAGTGTCTTCTACTGTGACTGACTTGGATCTGATTTACGAATCAGCCACTTCTTCATTATCCGTTGCCTCGGATAGGCTCTTTAACGAGCCGTTGTCTAGCAATGGACTATTCCGGCTTTCAGGCGTCATGTCACAATGTAATTACTCCTTTGTGGATAGCAAGAGGGCAAGAAGTAGTGTCAGAGCGGTGTTCTGCCTCCATCTTCTACACTGAAGACAAAGGCACTGTTTTCCTCCGAGAAGTTGGCACCCACCTACACAATACACGGAGTCAGCTACTAAAGACAGATCGCTTACCTTTGCTTGTTGGCTGTACTAGCCCCTGCAGACAGGAGAGACAGTAGGTGTGTTGGCAAGGTAACATCTTGGGACGCCGCAATCTCTTGTTGCACAGTTTACACTCCAAGAGATCATTCATAATGCCCATGGACATGCTGCACATGACAAATATTTTTCAGTCATGAATCACCATATCATCGCCTCAAAACATCAAGAGGGAAAACATGCTACTTCCTTTTATAGTATGACAGACAATATATGCAACATAAGTCCTCTCAAAATTTAGGGAACAGCAGAGTCCGTCTGCTCTACCAAGCAGGGTACGTCTTGCTTCGTGTAGACAAACTTACGGAAGCGAAGCCCCGCGTAAGGGCACCTGAATTTCTCACTAGCATATAAATACCGCAAGTACAGCGAGAATATAATCTAGTACATTTCTAATGATGTCTATCTTCTTTTTTCTGTGTGTTTCTTTGGGTTTGGTAAGGCTGAGTCAACCTGGTACTGTAACCGAACTGGCAACGTCAGCTTGATTTAATTTACGTAGTAACATGTATTGATCCATGTTAATTACCATGTTCGATTAGGCTTACTGGTACATATAGCAAATGAGCAAGAGGTACATAGGCTAATTATTGCCCTCAACAAGGAAGCTTAGCCCAACTCTCGAATGAAAAAAAAAAGAAAAAAAGAAAAACGACTTGTCAACGCAGATGCAAAGTGAAACAGGAAGGACCACCGCAGCTTGGTTCCTTAGAAAGTTACACAAAATTTTGCTTGTCGGAGTCCTTTGAGAATACGATATGTGACAGTTTTGATCATCGCAACTTAAAGATGGGAGTTTCCCGAGACCCAAGCCAGCGTAGCATTTATTAAGCTACTGACAGAATGTACGTTAAGTCTTTAGAGCCTAAATTCCCTGTAATCCTCAGACGGATTGGGGGAACGGTTAATTAAAGTACTCTTATTTTTCAAAAGTGACCAATCCTCGTAATTTAGGGAGTTGGCTTATAGACCAAGAAGAAACAGTCAGGGCCCCGAGTTTTGAGGAGAAGTCATTCTACTTGTTAGTTGTTTACCGAATCAGGAACCATACGGACGCAAAATCTGGATCACTCCGAAATTTGTAATAAATTATGTAAAATTTGTGGACTTGCAGTGCTCAAAAGTATAAGCTGCGGGTCACAAAGTGTGATTAAATCTGTAAATTAAAGTTCAAGTTAGGTGGAAGGTGTAATTTAAATCAAATAAAATCTATTACAATTTTCTATTAAAATTTCCTTTCAATTTTGTAAAATTCTTATTACCCCTCACAAGTGAAGGATAAAGATCAAAACAAGTGGACGACGCCCCTTGTGAGGTGTAATAAGAATTTTACAAAATTTGAGCCAAGAAAAGGGGCGCACCTGTTGGGGAGTGCAGTGTCCGTTTTGTCGGATACCGACGTGGTTTTCGTCCTCGCGGCGGTGCGTTGCGGTTTGCTGTCAGTCGTCCTGACGTTCAGACTCCCTGAACTCATCTGGCGCAGTATCGGAGGCCGTGATTCAAACTTCTTGTTCCCCAGTACTTCCTCTTCATGGGGACACGATTTATTTCTCGATCGGGGGATGTTCGACATTATCCTCGGCTGAAGCCCGCGCCTGTGCGTGAACCTGTACGAACATAAAAAGTGAGTAAGCACCAGCGATCATCCGAAATTTACTTAAACATGGTGCACGAAGGGGCTGTGGCTACAGAGTCACTATTTGTTAAGTGTACCAAGTGCGACTACGTACTATTAAAAGAATAAAATAATTGCAATTAAACCACTACATCCAGGAATAGCCACTAGTCTACAGTGACCAGGAATGTTCACTGATGTAGAGAGACCAGGGAAGAACCATGGGTCGACTTCTTTCGATGTTTCTCGCTTTCTTTCGAGCGTACTTCCCCATTACCTCACCATTCGTCTAACGATTCTATTCATACGAATTTTGCTAATGATAACTTTCGTATGACACAATCGTGTTGCATTTATTGATATAAGTGTGACGGAGATGGAGGGTAACAAAACAAACTGAAAGAAGAGAGATCGTGTCTTGTGCTCCGCCATCTTTCCGTGGTCTCGTTATAACTACATGAACTTTTTGCTGAAAGACACAGATTCGCAGGATCTGGAAAGGAATACAGCAGTAAGCAATGAGGGAGAAATGTCGAGTACATCCATTCTCATTATATATGGGAATTTTTTCCCCTGGCATCAGTAGGCATAATTAGGTTAACTTAGAATTTAATTTTGTTTCGATTGGGTTAATGTGCTGCCCATCCATAATACACATTTTCTCTAGACAATCGGCTCACAAATGGCGGTAAATTTGTCAGCCTTAGGCGCTAGTATCCCATTAATACCTAAGAAGATTTCTGGTACCCATTTCTGTTAAAGTCTGGGTGGCCCCCAGGGTCGTAGTGCGGCTGGAAGGATTAGGTCAATTAAAAATATGTACCTAACCGGGACTCAAACCCGCAACCTTCCGGCTTGTAGCATTGTGCCTCAACTAACTAAGCTATCGCGTTCCCCTGCTCACTCTACGTTCACATCTATATTTAACCGTAGATACATATTTTCCTATGTCCCTCACATAATTATTGTCAATACATTTTATTTATCTGTATGTCAGTACCTCATTAATTTCTAATGACTTCTCAATTATAAATCAGGGTGAAACGGCATTCGCGCACAAGCTGTCCGTAGTGTGGTTCGCTGTCAGAACAAGAATGGAAACTGTCCTGAGACGCTTAGTTTTCGAAATACTCGTCACAGTCAAATGGGGCAACATAATTTTCATGAGTACGCAGAAACAGTACTGTGGCATGTTCTTAACCCTTAATTAATGTAGCATTTGAGATGGTACGGCTTATCGAGTATTCGTGCAATGTTGTCCTGTTCGACGTAATCCGGACGATAGTAATTTTCGACCACTGGAGCTTCGTCTTCGTGACACAGGAAAAGTCACACCTGCGGAACACGTGAATACAGGTCACCCACGAACTCTACGGAAACAAATGAATGAAGATTCCGTAATTTGAGGATGCACACTTCACCGTCACTGTGCATCTCCGTCCATATATTGAATTCATACCTCGAGGCTCTTCATTTCATCTTTTTATTTATTGGACACTCATGTTTCGGACTAACTGGCCATCATCAGGTTAATGAGATTGCAAATGAAATTCTGCTCTCTTGTTACGTTGTTGTAGTCTGCATTTTACGAGTAATGCAAAATGTTGATAAAATCGTTTATATATCTTCTTTTATCGTGGTTACGTTTGCTTGCACAACTGTCGTGATTCTGGTGTATCTGTAATTTGCATGTGACAATCATATAATTGAAATACACGATGCAACAGGGTTCTTTAGTGCGAAAACAAGATTCCATAATTTCAGCTGTTGAGCAGCTCACACGAAATCGCATGCTAAATGGGGCTATCCCACATGAGGGTCCACGAAGTACTTCTTGACAGTCACCTGCATTCATACCACCACTTGCTTGTAGATAACCATAGCCTACGGATGAAATTTTGCGAATGCCTACGTCCTCAAGACACTGCGAATGAGCTCTTTTTATATAAGAGTCTGTGAACAGATGAAATATATTTTACGCGTAAGAGTTTGTTCAACGTCCACAATAGTCACCTCTGGGCACAGGAAATCCCTCTTTCTGTCTGCGAACTTCTGCACCCAGTCCATTTCAACATCAACGTTTGGTCTGAAAGCGTCAGGGACAGTGTCATGAGTCCCTGCCTGCTGTGTGACAGGCTGAATACTCTGTTTGGGATTTTATGGCAACTGTTCTACAGTGGCAGCCTTAAGATGTGCCTCTAGCTATGATNAACAAGATTCCATAATTTCAGCTGTTGAGCAGCTCACACGAAATCGAATGATAAATGGGGCTATCCCACATGAGGGTCCACGAAGTACTTCATGACAATCACCTGCATTCATACCACCACTTGCTTGTAGATAACCATAGCCTACGGATGAAATTTTGCGAATGCCTACGTCCTCAAGACACTGCGAATGAGCTCTTTTTATATAAGAGTCTGTGAACAGACGAAACATATTTTACGCATAAGAGTTTGTTCAACTTCCACAATAGTCACCTTTGGGCACAGGATATCCCTCTTCTCTCTGCGAACTTCTGCATCGAGTCCATTTCAACATCTACGTTTGGTCTGGAAGCGTCAGGGACAGTGTCATGAGTCCCTGTCTGCTGTCTGACAGGCTGAATACTCTGTTATTGGGATTTTATGGCAACTGTTCTACCGTGGCAGCCTTACGGTGTGCCTCTAGCTATGAGGCAGCGGATGTGGTCAGCCCTACGCGGCTCCAGCGCGCTGTGGGGAAGATGTATGCCAGTGTCTGAACGCGACATATCCAGGAAGGTAGATTGGACGTCAAGGGCCAATTTCATGGCTTCATCTGTCGCTTATACATTCCCTACCAAGACTATCAAAGATCTGATGGTAAGACTTCAAGCAGCTCTGATAACAGTCGATACCAACTTGAGTGCTGGTTCGAGAGAATGACGTGTAGCGCACTGCCGCCTTCCTTAGTATGAGGCAATCATGAGCTGATCGCTTAGAAGCAGGCGCCGTTTGGCGGTGACATAGATTGAAAACTGAACGTCACAGGACGTATGTTGTGCTATTTCTTTAACAAGGAATCGTACCATAGCGAGCTTGTGTAACGACACTTTCAGTATGTCAGACTATGTAACAACGAAGGACATAACGATGAATAGGAGAGGACGTGGAAGAGGGCGAGTGTCGGGATACTTTCCCATTATTTGCCAGGCTGGACTGAGAAATAAAATGTCATCGAAATCTAAACTGAACAAGCCAGCAGCGTTGCTTTCTCGTCTTCCTACGTAATAATTCCTTCTTCCACATTTTAGTTGCAGTATCTAAGGAAATATGCATGATAGCTCCTTCTCCTTGACATAAGGGATACAATCATTACTCTAAGCCTCTCCAAACTTCCTCTGATTTTCCATATTTGCAGTTTCCTGAGGATTACATATCTTTTCGAATCATTTTGCAACATCCCGTTCATTTTTCCCTACTATCCAGCAACTTCGTTAAGCTAGTAAAGTAAGGTAAAGTNTGACGTGTAGCGCACTGCCGCCTTCCTTAGTATGAGGCAATCATGACCTGATCGCTTAGAAGCAGGCGCCGTTTGGCAGTGACATATCTTGAAAACTGAACGTCACAGGACGTATGTTGTGCTATTCCTTTAACAAGGAATCATACCATAGCGAGCTTATGTAACGACACTTTCAGTATGTCAGACTATGTAACAACGAAGGACATAACGATGAATAGGAGAGGACGTGGAAGAGGGCGAGTGTCGGGATACTTTCCCATTATTTGCCAGGCTGGACTGAGAAATAAAATGTCATCGAAATCTAAACTGAACAAGCCAGCCTCCTCCTACTACTACCACCGCCAAAATGCNTCTTGACCTCGGCACTAGTTACAGGTGAGTGGTCAGCTTCACGCCTCTGCCGCTTTACCCCCGGTACCTATTGGATAGGAGGCTGGGTGGACTCCAGAGCCGGTCTGGACGATATGGAGAAGAGAAAATTCTGACCATACCGGGACTCGAACTCCGACCTCTCAGTCGTCCAACCCGTAAGCAGTCGCTATACCGACTGCGTTACCCCGGATCACTGACTGTGCTTAGAAGAAAAAAACATAAGTATATAATGTCCCCCCCCCAGTTAGTGCCGAGGTCAATAAAGCGAGGATCTATATATTCACTCCCTAATACGCCTTCATGGCTTCATTAGTTAAGCGAAGTACAACTTTGCTTTGACTTTTTACATAAATATCTCCTTCCACCTCAAGAAAGCAATATTTATCTTCATGCAAAACTCTGTTCGTCGGTCCATCCTTCTTTCATAACGTCAGTACGATTTGAGTGAGGCAGGTGCTAAGTGCATTAGCAGCTGAAGCCCTCTAGATCTGCATACCACGTACTACTACCACGGCTGCAGCAGCTACTCCTCCTCCTCCTACTACTACCACCGCCAAAATGCTACATGTAACTTGTGTCTCGGACACAGATACTTGTGTGTTGGACAGAGGTACAGAAGCATTTCAGCGGGTGTGATGTAAGTGCAGCTGGATGTCGAAACGTGGACAGAGCACACCAATAGATTCTATAAATGCAATTCCCAGGTTTAAGTAAATTCAATAAATGTTCTGGACTTTAAATTGTCGGGCAGATTACGAGGCAAGATGGAAAAAAACTTCACTTTGATACAGACTGCCTACTTGAAGAGATTTCTGGGTTCTAAGGCTGAGTAGTTGGGAGAGAGCAAGACGTTTCGGAATAATATATGGCTTTAATCTTCAGGGTCGAAGGGTAAGCCAAGTATGAAACCCAGAATACCGTAATATTCAGTGTAATATTAGGTTTGTAAATAATATTCAAAATTACGTTTCAAACCTGAAATTCTTCTTCATATGAGAATTGTAGAGAGTAGAGGTACGACGCAGATCCGGATGTCCTAAGTGAAATGGAGACGACATTCTCAGTGAGATGAATGACAGGTTGTCTTAGAGCCATCAAATTACGTACTCCTACCTGACGTTTTGAGTAGGAAAACTGACTGTATCTCAGATAAATTCGATAACTGATTTGTTATCTGTGCTGCCCATTCCCACTTCTGAACACGCAACCGGAAAGGAGGAATCGCCTAGAATAACCATATGTAGGTCCTTTTACATTCCACTGAGCCATACGAGGGCGCAAGGATTAATATTTCTGTAATAATATGATTATATTCATTTTATGATCTGTATAATCCATTCCTTCATGACAAGCCAGTTCTTCTTCATAAGGCTCGACAGCTTCATTTCTTGAACGCTTTGGCCTGCTCAACAATTTCCTTTCAGCTACTTCTGTCCTGTGTGCCAGTTATCCACTTATAAATTCCTAAACCCTTTAGGTCTTCCCTTACGTCATCTCTCCATCTAATCTTAGGTCGGCCTCTCTTTCTTACTGGGTGGGTCCTAATATGGACCCACATTAGTGTTAATCAATATGATCATCATAATACATGTAGTTATTACTAAAACTGTATAAAGATTTTTTAATTGTTTGTTTTTGTGTTGTTCCTGATCCTGATTTCAATGTGAACCAATGTAAACAATTAGATTGGTTGGTTTTATTTTGAAATATTTAATGTGTAGATGGGCAGAGCATCACAAATCATAAATCATGACACACTACAGGATGCAAACAATAAAGATAATGAAGAAAGCGGTCTTCTGGGATGTGGCACCGTGTATATGTGGTTATAACCGACGTTTCGGAGGAACGTATCGCCTCTATCTTCAGGGTACAAGGAAAAATATAAGAAATCCGCAAGCGAAGAGACCGTGAGAACCGGTCTTTTACCGGAATTTGTTTATAAAAAATTCTGTATTTATTTTTACACAACAAAATTTTAATCCCCTTCAAAATACTCTCCATTTAATTCAATGCACTTGTCCAAATCTTTTCTCCATTGCTCAAAACATATTTTTTTAAATTCATCGCTGCTGATGCCTTTTAGTGCTTCCGTCATTTTTTTCTTTACGCCTTCAACATCAGCAAAAGGTTTTCCCTTGAGATCTCCCTTCTTCAGAGGAAATTAAAAAAAGTCGCAGGGGGCAAGATCGGGTGAGTACGGGGGGGTGAGGTAAGGATGTCGTGCCATTTTTGGTCAAAAATCGCTGCACACTGAGCGCTGTGTGGGCATGCGCGTTGTCATGATGAAAGAACCATTCAACTCTTTGCCACAAATCGGGACGTTTTCTCCTTAAACTCATATGCAACCTTTTCAAAATTTCGTCAATCGTCCGCCGGCGATTTTCCAGAATGATCTGACTAATTTTGTCACGATTTCATCAGTTCTGGCGATTGAAGGACGTCCACTTCGAGGTTGATCATCAGTTGACATTTCACCACGTTTGAAACGGGAGAACCATTTGTAAATATGTGTTTTACTTATGTCGGCTATCCTGTAGGCTGTTTGTAGCATAACAACCGTTTCACAACAGCACTTTGTTCATGTGAACCAGCCATTAAAAACAGACGAATTATAAAAAAGTCACTTGGGAAAAAATTTCACCAAACACTAACGCAAATTTCTCTGACGACGCCAGCCGGCATACTGCTTCAGGGAGGAGCGGCAAACAACCACATAGCCTTCTAGAAACAAATTCCGATATTTTTACTTCCCCTTTCGTGCGTGTATGTGAGTATATATATAATAAATTTTATCCAGTAACTTTTTGTGAGCCTACTTAAAAGTGTCACTCTCACCTCAGAAGTATGCATTGTCACCATGTTCGTGTTTGTTCCTGTTGGTAAGAAACTAAAGATACCGGCAGCAACAGCTTCACCTCAGTGTCTATCTCTTTTCAACCACCATTTAACGTGTAATTACAGCTTACAGGAAAAATAACAATGCGCTTTAACTTCACAAAAATTACCATGCAACGTCACTGCTTATTCATTCACCCACCTCTCGCCCTCCGATTTAACTGCACGAATTTTCCAACCAGAATATTGTGTACATTTATTTTCCCCTTTCTGAGAATTGGTAAGAGTACAAATTATCAGCCATCGTAATAAAATGAAGTTGAAGACAGTTCAAAACAAAACTTAGTAATAAATTTTAGGGACTGACGCTGTGTAGTCCTGTAGAATTTTCTTAAGTTGCGGAGTAACACACTGACACAAATTTCAGCGCTGAAAAGCAGCGGCTGCTCGATTCTTGCTGATTGCTTTCTTGGTTCACTCTTCGATTCTGAAGATTAATACTCCTATTCTACCAGACTACATGGCGTCATATCCCAGGAGGTAGTAATCTTAACAGTTACATCCAATGAAACTTCAAACTGATCAAAATATTCTTGCTCTAAATAGCTGTATAGATCGCCAGTTCTTGTAAATGTAGTTTTGAATATAATTTAATACAGCAGAATATTTGTTGCGGGTTGAAGAGTTCTACTTGAATTCCTGTGTTTATAGTATCAACGGGTAACTGAGATTATGTCCTTACCTTACTAAATTCAGGATAGTGTACAGTTGCGAGAAGATAATAACTGAAAAGAGAATTATTTGGCTTCCTTCAACATGTCTTATCAGTTGATAATATATCAGCAATATTTTAATATGACCGCCATTCTGATAATACAGTAGTCACATTTTGATAATAGATATTACACATCGAGGTCATTCTTTGCGGCACTACCAGTAGGAAAGACGTACCTGAGATAAGCCTTATCTTACGATAGAAAATATTGTCTCTGCTCTTACAGTGTCATCAGTAATAATAATAGCCTTAAGTTTCTAAGCGAACTTTCTGGTTCTCCACCCATTGGAATACTTGCTGCCTTCTCTTGGTGAGACTTCGGCTACGCCAATGATGACAGATCCCTGTTAGCAGAGGCCCTTAAGGGCTGCTTCTGCGGTCCTGCCGCTAGCTTACACTGCATCAACAGTATACCTGTCGTACAGTTGTACCTCTTCCTGTCACAATTTTACGCCAAACAAATAACAAAATACAATTTTTTGTGGCAATGGTAAAAAATAAGCTAGTTTTTTATTTATTTCCCTCAAGATAACAGTCTTTTAGAATGCGATGCTTTGTAGTTTTGCGGATAGGTACTATCGTTTGGGAGGAACTTCCTTCCTCCATCTTCAAATTATTCCTGAGGGCTCCTATCCCGTCCGTCTTTGTCCCTATATACGTATCACTTTTCCCATGATTGGCCTGAAGGCAGAGGAAGTAGGAATATATGAACATGTTACTCGTAAGATCCAAAACATACAATGTTACCGACCCAACTCTAATCGCGCTCCACGTTCAGATCACTTGTCAAGACGGTCAAGACCGCCAAGTGGCGCGTCCCGGGGCTTTACGACGAACTAACAGGACATCTTTCAAAGTCATTGCAGGTTATGTGTGTATTTTCAATATATAGGTGTATTTATAAGCGAAGCTTTCCCATAACTTTGATATTTCCGACATTCTTAACAGAATAATGACTAGCCATTCAATATATATGAAATAATGAAAGATATTACAAAATATAGTGTGCGGTAGTTACCCATGCTGGCCATGGTGGTATCCATGTTGTGAGGTACTCTTAAATTCGTATTGGGCGTTATCGGTCGTTAATGTACTGGCCATGGAGGTTAGATAGCTTTAAGTTATAATTGGATGAATAATTTCAGGGATTTCAAGTTATTATTCAGAAGGGAGATAATAAGGTGAAGTGTAGTGCAGTGATTTTATCAAGCCAATTAGTGCTTCAGACTTGGCCGTTAAATTAAGTATAAACTGAAAAAGTATTCGGTTGACAGAAACAAGACAATTAACTGTGTTCGTATCAGTAGACTTCATATATATAGAAATGTTTGCCGATGTTGACGTATTCATAAGCAATTACACTCTAGTTGATCCAGAAGTATACCAACTGTGGGTTGATGGATGTTCCTGTAAGTACAAGAAAGAGTCTGACCTTAATCATTAAGGTTTCTTGTTTCTGGACTATTGTTGCAATTTTGAATTTTGCTCAACTTTTGTTGGTACAGATGTAATGACTGCTCAGATATAGTATTTAAGATTGATTACTGCCTGTATGCAAAGCCATGTGTCCAGTTTCATAAGAGATTGTAAATTTATCAAATTGTTAGTATATTTTTTTGTCAGCATCCACCTTGTGTATTGTCCTGTACTAAGGGAAGAACAAATATTGAGGATTTTTCAGAATAGGGTGGTTAGCAGAAGGAAGTGACAGGAGGCTGATGGAAATTGCATAATGAGGAGTTTCATAATTTGCACTCTTTACTGCACATAGGTGATCAAATTGAGAAGGATGAGATGGACTGAGCATGTGTAATATGTACACAATGTTGTATAGAAAACCTGAAGGGAGGAGAGCTTTTGGAAGATCTAGGCATATGTGGGAGCATATTTTAAAGCAGTGTTTTTGAAACTGGATTCTACGAATGTGTGTAAGGGGCCCCACCAAACATTGGTGAAATCTTGGGCAGTTTGTTTGTTTTGTAATCATTTTTACTGACATTCTATAATATTATTAAACTACTTGTAAACACATAGAATGTGTTTTGAAGGATAATACTTTGTAGAGAAACAGGTGCATAATTTCAGAACATTTCTGACTTTGATTTGGTTCATCCTGGTCCATCACACTAGTAATATTATGAAAGATTAGTTAACTCTGTCCAGTGTGACTGATTAAATGTTTGTTTTTTTTCCTTCTTTCCTTTTTAATTTTTTATCCTTATATATATATATTATGTGTTCGGTCAATATCAATACATACATACAATATCATCACAATGCCATGAATATAAAATTTCATCCTTTAACAGCTACAGTGACGTGCATGAATACATTAAAATTCTACGTTCTAACTGGTGTTGCCCCAGGAAGAATAATTTAAGAATGGTCACTGAAAACAGTGCCCTGCACCTTCACATAACCTTTCCATGTTTGTGAAAGCTTAAGCAGAGAACAATAACATTCTCAGAATAATGGGACAGGCAGTATGGTCTTCAACTTTTCACCAGATAATTTAAAGTCTCAGTCTGATACACATGTTGTATCAGTGTTAAGTAGTGTCATATTCAATCTGTGTTTGTATTATTAACATGTGAATTGTTAAAAGGGTATGACATGAATAAATGGCTGTTAAAAAGAAATTACCCTGCTAAATATAGTTACAAATAGATTGATTGTTACAAAGAAGAATACTTAAAACAATATCAAACAATGAAAATGAAACAAACTCGTATAATAATATATTTCTGCATCTTATAGCCCCCCACCATCAAATGTGTGTTCTAGTATTGGAGCCCATGTTGCATGAACCAAATGTAATGTGTAAAAAGCAAAAACTGTAAACGGTGCAAAAAGAAGAAAATACTTTGATAATTATTTATCAGTGGATGTTGCTCAAGATGGTGATAGAACCTCTCCACATCCAGGTTTTATTTTATGTAATGAAATCATGCAGAATAATTGTATGGTGCCTTTTGAGTTAAAACATCATTTTGAAATAAAACACAGCAAACATAAAGGTTTACGAGAAAAATGTCTTAGACAGCAGCTGAATATTTATAAGTAATCATCAGTGGTGTTTACCCTGTAAAGATAGCAGTGTTCCCACTTAAAAATTTTACATGGGCGTCATCCTGGAATGAATGAAATTAGCATTGTATGCCCTTAGTAACAAATATGCAGTACCAGCCAGTTGTTCGATAATTATTGTTGGGAAACCATATATTTAGGATGACATCTGGGAAGATACAAGGGCTTGAAGAGTGAATAAATTCTGTACTAAGATGGACAATATGGTGATGTGTATTTCTTTGTTTGTTTGATAGCCTCGGAAGCCGTGACAGCCCTGAACCAGCGGGGAGTAATACAGCAGACTGGAGCAACTTTGGAGTTGGTTGCTTCGGATGTACTTGACCACTATCGTACTTACAGTCTGTTAGAGAGGCTGCTTCACAATCCGCCAAAGCTAGCTGAACAGCTTGCTTTCCAAATAGAGCCACAGACAAGGAGACTTCTTATAGAAAAGTAAGTTTTTTAATAAAATATAGGCTTATGTCTTCCCATGAAAATCACATAGATGTATAATTAAGAGCTCCTCCCCTCTTTACCCTTACGGTTTGTGGGAAGACAGCTGCTTTTATCCCTAGTTCCATCATCATGTTCCCAATGCTCCCTTTATGGAATGGGGTGTCCAAGCTTAGCTTTAATAATGAAAGACTGAATCTTCAAAATAAGTATATAAGTTTTTATGTGCTACTGAATATTGTAATAAATAAAGAACACATTATTATTTTCTTCATAGTTATAAACTGTTAGTATTTTGAAGTCCGAATTCTGAATATATAGTGTCAAACAGTAGGATGATTGGTGAATTGGAAAGGATTTGAAAGGAGGTAATCATGGCCTCTCGTAATATGCCTGGAAAGACTGAGAAAGCTTACGTGAAAGCTCAGTCAGGATAACCAGTGTCTTGGCTGAGACTCAGAGTCAGTGCCTCGGGTTAAGAGTCTGGAGCATACCACTACGAGATATCCGTCAAACACTTAGATAATGATCTGACTTCGTGATGTAATGTGTCATGATCAACAAAACTGTTTTCTTTTGTGTAAGTCTAAATCTGATCTTCACTTCGCAGGTACTATGAGTTTGATGGTGCTGTGATACGGGAATTACTGGGCAAGAAATTGTCCTCACGCCACAGGAAGGATTTGGATGAAGTGAGTGAAAAGACTTGTGTACTCCTCAAATCTTGCAGGTTTGTTATAAATGAGACTAGAACTTTACAGTGTAAGAACCTGAAACTTATTGTAATGATCCAAGAAATTTCATGACCTAATGGAGGTGTTTAAAATTATGGCTTGCAGATGGAGAGGATATGTTTTTTTTATTGCCTGTGTAAGCTTACACAGTAAAAAAAAGTCAAGGTATCCCTGTAACAGGCTGTGGAGGCCCATAGGGTTGTGAGATATTGAGGTTCCCACATTTTTTAGAGAGTTTGCTCACAAATGGCAGTGAGGTTGTCAGCCTTATTCCTGGTACTCATTTCTGTTAGAGACTGAGTAGACCCCAGGGCTATAGTGCAGCTGGAAGACTTAGGTATATTGACAAAATCCACCTCATGGGGATTCGATCCCGTGACCTTCCAGCTTGTAGCATAGTGCCTCAACCAACTACGCTACTGCGTACCCCCATAAGCTTACACAGACATAAATTTTCTTGTTACAGTTCTGGGCTAAGTCATAAGCACAGGCAGATTATGAGTTGAATGGGAAACAGTCTTTGTGTAGTTCCCGAAATACTGATACTGTCCAAATTAAGATTGAGAGAGACAGAACTTGTCAGGTATATATGTGGCAGGATACTCACATGGCTGTGCACTGTATATTGTAGTGGTGCAAATGCACTTTCCATTTCTTGATATGAGTACTGTTGCCTCTGATTTAAAATCTAACTGCAAGCTGCATAGTATCAAGGGATTAAAATTTCCTGTTCCTTAGCAATAAAGTTTAATCTCGTACATCATCCCAGGGGGGCACGCAGTAGCGTAGTTCGTTGAGGCACTGTGCTACAAGCTGGAAGGTCATGGGTTTAAGTCCCGATGAGGTAATTGGATTTCTTTCAATTGACTTAATCCCTCCAGCCACACTACTACCCTGAAGTCGACTCAGCCTCTAACAGAAATGAGTACCAGGAATATTCTTGGAGGTAAAGGGCGGCCGGCACGTAAGGCTGACAACCTTGCCGCCTTCTATGAGCCAATTATCTAGAGAAGATGTGGGAACCTCAACATCTCACAACTCTATGGGCCTCCATGGCCTGTTACAGGGATACCTTTACTTTTACTTTTTTATTTACATCTTCCCTTCCTTAAGCTGCCAAGAACATCCTTTCATAGAGACAGTGTAATGCCATGAATGACCTGCAGTACAGTTAGTGCCTCATAACTTTAGCAACTTGGAAAGGTAAACGCTGCTGTGAAGCACGCGAAGCCGTATGCTTGCTGTGGTGATGTTCAAAGCTACTCCCCGAGTGGAAAGCATTGCCTACGGAGACCAGGAGTAGATACACAACGTACTATACACCTGACCACACTCCAAGACACTTCATTCCAAACTGACAGTACCCACGCTGACGTAAGCTGATAAGACTGCTCCCCCAGCTCCTCGAGAGATAGTATGACTCCTCTATGAGGGCTAGAGTTCCAAGGAACTAACAGTACTCTTATCAGTGAACCATAGTTATCCTGTTTCAATTGTTTTAGATGCATGCTTGGCAGTTATTGCCAATATGGAGACCAAGATAGAGGCCAACCAAGAGATTATTGAAGTCATGATTGATGCCCCCCCATCTAGAAGTAAGCACAGAGAAAACTATGTATATGTTACTGTCTTGTCACCAAAATGCAGGGCAAAATCATGACATAAACATAGGAAACAGATGTTTTGAAAATGTGGCACAGTTCAGATGTTTGGGAACAACGATAAAAGATCAAAACCTGATTCAGGAGGAAATTAAGAGGAGATTAAACTCGGGTAATGCTTGCTACCATTCAGTCCAGAACCTTTTATCTTCTCATCTGCTGTCCAAAGACATAAAAATTAGAATATACAAAACTATAATTTTGCTTGTGGTTCTGTATGGGTGTGAAACTTGGTCTCTGACATTACGGGAGGAACATAGACTGAGGGTGTTGAGAATATTTGGACCGAAGAGAGATGAAGTGACAGGAGGTTGGAGAAAACTACATAATGAGGAGCTTCATAACTTGTACTCTTCTCCAAGTATAATTAGAATGATCAAGTCAAGGAGGATGAGGTGGGCAGGGCATGTAGCACGAACGGGGAGACGAATGTGTATAGGATATTGGTGGGAAAGCCAGAAGGAAGGAGACCACAGGGAAGACCAAGGCATAAGTGGGTGGACAATATTAGAATGGATCTTAGAAAGATAGGATGGGATGGTATGGATTGGATAGATCTGGCGCAGGATATGGACCAGTGGAGGGCTCTTGTGAACACGGTAATGAACCTTCGGGTTCCACAAAATGCTGGGAAATTCTTGAGTAGCTGCAGAATTGGCGGCTCCTCCAGAAGGGCTCAGCTCCATGAGTAAGTACGCAAGTACTGATTGATGCCAGCCATGGGAACATGGAAGACAAGGTGGACACCACCATGAATGTTGTACAAGAGGGAATGGAGGCTGTGATAAAGAGCGGCCACGAAGACATGAAAGCTACAGTGTGGACTGGCCCAATGAGAGATGTGGGCCACAATAAGGGCTGGCCAATCGGATGGAGGGCAGGAATAAGCACAATCCATCCAGCCTCATTTATTTGCTGTCTTACTTGTTTCACTGAGTGACAGTAGTACAGTAACCGCCAAAATTCAGAGGGTCATATCTCTTAAACTTTAAACCTATGAAAAAGAAAACGCATGAATTAAGTCCATATGAATGGTATGTGGACTGTCTTAAAAAATCTCATTATTCATGGAATGATGCTTTGTTACAGAAGACAATTTGATAATGTGAAGAGAGTGTTCAAAGTTGTAGAAGATATGCAGGGCTCTGTAGTCCAAAACATCAAGACCAACTTTCTTCTTCCTGAAGAGCTGGCCAGGTAGGTAGAAAAAGCCACCAGTATTGTAGTCAGAGGTGTTCCTGATACAGAGTATCCTAATTGGCAGGATAAACTGCCAATAATGCAGCCAGTGCTCTCTTTGATATGACAGGACAAAATAGGTAGGGCAGGACACAAATAGTGCAGTCATTGCACTCTCTTATGCTTTAGTTTGTTCACCTGTACTTGGTTCATCTGAATGGTGTAATGTTATATAATTAAAATCACATATTTGGTATATATAAATGGTTTCAGTTGTTTATAATATTGCGTATTGGGAGATTCAGTTCCCTGACTGAGCATATTTGCAATAGATCCAAGGTCAGCATATGATTCAGCATCATGTTGGACCAAATTGTTGCACGTGTGCGGATTGTTTGGTTATGTTAGAGAATTTTGTGTTCCCACATATGTTAACTAAGATCATTTTCCAAAAAGGTAGTGCAGCAGCCCATTTTGGTGCCATTGTATGCCTTGCTGTGAATTGGATTGGCTGGATGTGGGGATTTGCACCAAACTATTACAGTGGCTATTGTTGCCGTGCATGTGAATGCGCTGTCTTGGGTGTGGAGTGAAGTTCAATTTCATTTTAATGTCTATATGATTGTCGTTGGTGCCCACATTGAATTGCACTAAATGACAGTAAAACTTGTCTACTTGTTTTTTTTTAATAAGAAGGTTTTATGTGAAAGCAGTGAGTAAATATTTGCAACTAGAACTCTGAAGTTTTTTCGCAGACACCCTGTACAATAATGTAGTGATGTGTTGCAGGCGCTATGGGGCCGTTGTTTTTATTGCTTGCATAAAGTTTGAAACCAGCAAGAAGAAACTTCAATATCTGACATTTCCAGACTTCTATCATTGTGCACAGTCTATTATGGCTTCGTGGACTTATGTGGATAATGGTAGTCCAGAATATGATGATACAGAACTGGATAGGGAATTCCTTCTGGATCTCAGAGAACTCAGGATATTACTTGACAAAGAAAAGGAGCACAAACAGTAAGTCTAGAGTAACTGCTCTAAACATAATGATATGTGAACTATTTTGGAAGGAAATTGTTCTCTTTAGCGTTTGCATAATCATTTACTTAATGGTTCTGATATGTATTAGTGGTGCAAAAACATCATGTGTTGCAATTTTAGGCATTAATGTTTCCTTAAAGTTTTTTTGCTAATAATTGATTCATTAATTCTTTATGAAATAGTTGTGCCTGTTCTAAGAGTATGTTATACTCCTGTCATATTAATATTTTCTATCTTATGACAGTGGACTAGGCTTATCCAATACATCTTTAATATTAATCCACTTTGCTGACCACTAGGACCCTACACAACACACATTTGCAACACTGTTTACACTTTTCAGCAAAGGTTTTGTGCCACAAGTATTTTTAGGTGATGTATGTGTAGTTTTTTTACATTTATTATTAAAAATGAAAATAAATTTAAGATAGGGACTAGCTCTATCGATTGGGCCCAACTGAATAGGTTTTACCTGAAGACGGAGACAGAATCCAGTCTCTGAAACATTGTGTTTTGAAAAATAAACAGGATGGTTTTTAGAGAAAGACAAGATGATGGATAATGTTCAGAAACATAATATTTGTACTAATGTACCATCGTCACAAACTTTTAGATCTGATTTATAGTGATTATGGGAATCCATGAGAACATTATATCAGATGTCTTTAGTCTGAAAACTGTATGAGCAGTTATGGAACATGAGTCTGTAGCTGACCAAATACATCATATGCATATTTCACCTGTTTCTTACTGTTGTAACTAAGAGGGAGATATCTTTGCATTACTGCTTTTCCTTTCTCTTCTGTTACCTTCAGGAGTCATGGTAAGTGATTTAGTATCAAGAAGTGGGCAGTTTATACATATGGTACCTTCATCCAGACAGCATAATTCTGTGACTGTTATTCAGAAGGTAAGTAGTTAGTTAGTTATTGGAGAGGGTGGGGTTCCCCATGCACTGAGACCAGTATTGGTCCATTGTGCTTCCCTCTATGATATTCTACCAGTCTCTATACCATACCGATATTGGTGCGTACCATCAGTCCCGACCGAGCCAGCGAGTTTGGCCTCTACTGGCTTGGGGGTATCTATAATGCTTCCCCCATCTATCAGAGGCATTAGAGACTACTGTTGGGCAGGAAATGTCCTTGAATTTAGCTCATTGACCTCCTTTGGAGATATGAGGTTCTTTTACGTGCCGTAAAGCTACGACACGGGACCCACAGCTTAAAGTCCCTCCCGGAGGACTTGTTCCCTGAATTTTTCCACCCTTAAAAATTCCACAACCTCCACCGGGTCAGAAGGTAAGTATGTTGTACTTTGATTATCACTGTCTTCTGGAATGTTACAGGATGTAATCTGGTAGTCAGAGTACCCTGTTACTTGGAAATGCCAGTAAACCTCTACTAGGCCATATGGCATCACTTCTCAGAAGACAACAATCTTCATAGTAACTGCTGTGAAAATCTCAAAGCTTATGTCTGTGTGTGTTCCAGCTTAGTATGCCAGAAGTTGAAACCCCAGCTGTTGGAGCGGTCATACCAAGAATTGGATTCTAACTTCCGATCATACACACGTGCTCTGGTGGGCCTTGCATGTAACCTTCATCGGTCCCGTGAACTGCGCTCTTTGTTTCTTGAATTGGTGGAAAGGTGCTTAGAGCCCTGGAGACAAGTATCTTGGTCCCACACAGATCTGCGGAACTTCCTTTCTTCTTACTACCAGTGTGCGCTTGAAATGGATGTTCTGAGGTGTGTAATCATAGTTCTGCTGTTTTTAATGCGTCTCTGGTTGATTTTAAAGTTAAAGTTTACATATTTAATTTGTGTTTGTTATACAAATCCTGCCAATCAGATTCATACACATAAAGTATCAACTTCTGGTCATCTGTAACTTACCTTAGCCTTTCTGTATCAGGTTTAGTACATATTTAGGTTATGAGCTAATGATTCTGGGGACAGTCAAAGACCTACATAATGCAGTTTCAGAAGCAGTGTAACAAGGCCATAGCACTAGCTTAAAAATATAAATGCTAGACATCTATGTATAACACAGTAAGTCAATAATGCAACAAACTGTTCCTTTTTCTTCCACTTACTCTTTTAGCACAACATGTTTTGTCCCTAGATGGCCATCTTCAGGTGTCTTAATATATTGAAACTGCTACACTGCATTAATATGCACTAAAATCACATGCTTTAGTCCACTTAACATAATAAAATAAATTAAAATAAAATCCATTAAAACTTCTTATTAAAATTTTCATTACGTTTGTGAAATTCTATTCCACCTCATAAAGGGTGTCGTCCACTTGTTTAGAACTATGTGTTTCTCTCCATGTGTTTTTGCAGCTGCTTGTTTTGTGTTCTGTTATGTCTGCAATCTGTGATATGCCCCTTGTTTGTGTGTTGTTCCCTCTAGCAGCGTGTGGTGTCGTCTTCACTAGTGCCAGGTTTCTGCCATTTGTCTGTTTCTATACTCTCCCCCCCCCACGCATAACTTTCTGACTTTCTCACATACATCATATGATTTAACCCTCTGCCACAATATCTAAATTCATTATAACCTTACCCTTTCAGACCTCTTAATTTGAATATTCCATATACAGTACATTATAATATACTGAGTTTGGCAGTAAACATTTAAGTTTCTGTTTTCTTCTCCATCAAGTACTGTAAAGGATTACTGCATAATTTTTAGTGAGTTGACAGCAGTAAGAATTTGGTCATTGCTATGTTCCATTGGTAAAGTGTTTCATTCCTCTGTAAAGAGCATCTTGATTATACTGTTACTTCATGCACAGTATTTTCTGTGCAGTTTCAGGCTTTCGTCACAGCTCAGTGGGATGTTAATCCAGTTTCTGGGTCATGGCACATATTTTATATATTTATTTGTAATTTATTTAATAATGCTCTCAGTAACTCAGACCGTAGAGCATTGAGTGATAGGATGATAATAAATCGGAAAGGATATGAAATGAAGCAGTCATGACCTGATCTAGGGCATTGTCCCAGCATTCGCATGGAGAGACTGAGAAAGAGCATGATATATCTCAGTGTGTGTGGTGTATGTCACGGCAATAATTCAATTCAGACACCTTCTAAATATGAGCATTCAATTTTTATCTCATATGTGCTTCTTAATGGGGATACTGTTCCACAACTCACAGCAGGTGATTAGCCAGTTTGGAATTATGAAGAGTTTAATATTGTTTGCTAATTATGTATTAAAATTTGCTGAGCTACAAATCTTCGGAAATAAAACACTCAAATTCACAGTTTGCCAAGGTGTATTGTTGCTGTAATTTCTATATGTGGATGCAAGCAAATTTATTGGTTTCAGCAATGATATCACTTATATAATTTCCAGGATGCAAAGGTAGTTACATTGAGGTGAACTGGAGTGTGTAGAATTTATTTTCATCCAGGCTGAAAGATTGAATGTGAGTTCCCATGTCTTGAGGCTTCATATCCTATTCCATTGGTCAGTTGACACCAAATTATATAGTTGCAGGTCAGCTGAACTCCAACAAGTGGATACCAATATTCTGGCTTCAGTTCTGTCATAAAGAAGTCCCACTGTGAGGGCAATGAATTACCCACTAGCATTATAGTCAAGCAAGTCGTGTGGCACTAAAGCATTCTGGAAAATTCCAGAAGTTTAGAATATGTTACTTTTGCCTATGGACAGTGCAATGCAATATTCATCATAAACCCAAATCTCCTGCATTGCCTGATATACACAAATTGGAAGAGCAGTGATGAAATCATGTAGCTGTAATTCAAATCATCTCAAAATCAAATCTTTGAACCTAGATTAATTTGGTTGTGAATTGGAGAGGTGTAAATTAGTGCACTCATGGCTTGCCACTCTTGTCACATTTCTTTCAAGAAAACCCTCACCTTCTGCTTCATGGCAGGCATGTGTCAAAATGTGTCTTCATTTCCTGTGTCAACTGATATGGCACAAAATATGCATACATTTTTTTGAATCCCAATTATTGCTGAATCCCAGCACCACAGTGAAGTTATCCAAAGTTACTTAACACTTTCCCTTAATTTATGCATTCTACTTCTGCAGTATTGTCATAGAAGTAAGGACATGGCATAATTAGCCTGGGTGCTGAGCATCATCCGTCTCCTGTTTAAAATTCTACACTGTCATAGTGATGTGGTATTTTCTTAAATGCATATTACCATGCCAGAAATAAACAGTACCATAACCTTTCCGACTCAGCACAAGAACTCCCATTATGGAACTGTGATATCGTTCTGAAGCCTGCACCAGCCATAAGCACAGGAGCATGGGTTGCAGAAGGTCAGCATAATGAGAAAGAGAGAAAGAAACAAACTGAAACATTAAAACCTCTTTCAGTAACTCTTTGAAATTTTGAAATTTAAAAAAAAATAGCCCCAGATGTTGTACAGAAGAATATGAATTGCATAGCTTGTGAAACATTAAGCTTAACTGATATTAAGGCATGCAAATCTCTTGTTTCATTCTCTAGGGAGGCAGATTTAAAGAATTCCTGGGAGCGGTACATGACTGTGATAACAAGCTGCCTGCTGCGGATGTATCATGCCTAGCAATTTGTGGGTTTTACAGCCACATACACAGCATATGTGTCCTAACATTTGTGCTGATAAACCTGTACATCTGATTTCTACAAATAGCATGAACGGAATAAAGTATGACCTCAGTTTTCAGTTTGATAAGTGCCATTATGAGAATAAAATATTGCTAGTTACGTACATTTTCATATAATAATGTTGTTGACATTACTGTCTTCTTGTATGTGATACTGATAGACTAATGGTTACATACCAGTGCTTTTGAGGGCACACTATTGCCTACATTTCCAAAACAGAAATGTGACTCTCATTCTTTTACGTTTCTCCAAAACTGTAGTATGTATCTACCTAACTTCATGGTGTTTCATCCCAAAAGACAGTAATTTTCATAGTCACAACTCTGACAACTTCAAGTTTCAGAGTATGTTGTTAATTTATGCTGCACATATTTTGTTAAGTATACCGAAACTGCAAACAAAAACAAAAGAAGTCTCGTTGACTCTTGGGATGATATTGCTCAGTGGCTTCCCCCTCTCTGTGTACTGTTGTATTCCTTTCTGGCCCATATTAGCTAGCCCAAAGCAATAGTACACTATATGGTTTATACAACCACATTGTGTGTGCTTCTCCATACTCATTGACAAATATAATAAATTGTGTACTTAACATTATTCTCGTTTATTCATATCTGTAATTACTTAAATATTGTACATATATATAAAGTATTATACTTAATCACAAAATTTTGTAGAAATAGTTAAAACTGACAGTGTGATTCTCGGAGAAGACAGGATTTCTGGCTGGTTTGAGTCTATTACAATACTGTCTCTTTCACCATCATCCTTGCTCTTGCAGCTGCCTCATCTGCTCCTGAGCAATATTATAACTTACTTCACACATTCCTCCACTTCTCCTCTGTCCATCAGTGCATTCCACAGAGACACACACAGGTAGCATAAGAATTCTTAAGCCCAATTTTTTTTTAGGGATGATGGTACGCTATAAGAATCACATCAAGGAAAAGAAATTGTCTCATTTCGGTTTATTTACTGTGTGCAGTAAAACATGACACGTATTGCATATGGTACACAACAATCACAAAGAGGATATAGCATTGTGGAAGGGACTAAGCAAAGAAACGGGAGAGATATCACATAAGGATGATAAAAGAATTAGAAAAAGCACTGGATTGCTCTAAGCAACCCACATCTGCAGGGACATGCTTTGATTTTGCCAAAAATTTCAAAGAAACTGCACTTAGAATGATGTTTTGCAGACACACTTGCAGATATGTAAAATTAATTTTGACACAAGTCTCCGAGAATAACTTTCAGATCCAAAAATTTGCAGAGGCATACTACAAATTATTGTGTATGGCAGCACATATTTATAAGAATCACATTCAATAAAACACTCATCGTTATGTACATAAGCTACTAAGAATTAATTGTGTTCTTTAATCTGGAAAACTGACAGACCTTAGGAAAAATGTCAACAAAGAACATCATTATTATTTATTTATTATTTGGTTCCATCAGCACAATCTCTGTATAGATTCTTTAAAGGCTTACAACATATTTTAACCCTACGGCCATGATCAGATACTGTACCTGCACCTTGACTTATCTCTTCTGTTTGGGGCCGCGCCATAGCTCAAGTGGTTAGTCGCTGACTTCCCACTGCAGCGGCCCGGGTTCGATCCCGGGTCTGGTCAAGTGGGATTTGTGGTGGACAAAGTGGCACTGGGGCGGGATTTCTCCAAGTACTTCGATTTCCCCTGCCAATCTTCAGTCCACCAAATTCTCCATCATAATCACCCGGGGCAGGTTACAATAGGTCAGTCAGTGGCTGCCATGCCAAGTGGACCCAGTTGGACTCCACCCCCCACTAAGCGAATTAATTATCTCTTCTGTTACCTACATTGGCCAGTGTTTACATATGGGTATATTTTGTGTAATTTATTTATGTATTAGTGCAGTGCCCTTGTACTCGTAAAAGTAATTATTAAAATATTGTCACGTGTTAGTGACTAGAGAGGGGGTTTGGATTGGGAATTAGATTTATTGAACATGTATAGCTTGTAACTACAAGTAGGTAATTATAGCGATATTGCTAATTCGAACTACAGCACGCACAAATTTTCTCAGTCTACAGTGTCTTCACTGGCTATCGCCTGGTAATGGCTCCCAACGCTGTAGATTCCCCATTTTCCAAATACACCTCCTTACTGGCTGGCGACTGTCTCACAACTCATGGCTGCAACAATCTGGCCATTGACTGCCTAGATGCTTCCGGCCTCCACTGGGAACCACTGGCTAGCACTCACTGGCGTCTTGTCTGCAGACTGATAACCACTCCATACTCGATCGGTTTTTTGGTCGGTAGGTTAAATTGCTGCTGTCCTTCGCCAGCACTGTCATTCCTGGCTTCAGTTTCCTCGAGATCCACGGCCAAGTTTTTTATTCTCCCATAAAGACATGTTGTTAACAGATGATGGAAGGTGTACTAGTGAAATTAAATCCAGGATTGCCATGGCAAAGCTGCATTCAGCAAGAAGAAGAATCTTTTTACCAGCAAATTAGACTTAAATTTGAGGAAGAAACTAGTGAAATGCTACATTTGGAGCATAGCTCTGTATGGGGCTGAAACATGGACACTTAGGGCAGTAGATCAGAAACATCTGGAAAGTTTTGAAATGTGGTGTTGGAGAAGGATGGAGAAGATCAGTTGGACCGATTATGTGAGAAATGAAGAAGTGTTAATTAGAGTCAGTGAGCAGAGGAATATCCTACACGAAATAAGAAAACGGAAGGCTAATTGGATTGGTCATGTTTTACGCAGAAACTGCCTTCTAAAAGAAGTTATCGAAGGAAAGATAGAGGGGCGGATAGAAGTGACAAGAAGACGAGGAAGAAGACGTAAGAAGATGCTGGATGACCTTGGGGACAGAAGAGGATACTGTCATTTGAAGGAGAAAGCTCTAGATCGCATTAAGTGGAGGAATTGTTTTGGAAGAGACTGTGGACCTGTCGTCTTGACAGATTACTGATGATGAAAGACATGTACGTGTTTCGAAATGGGGCCTCCTCTTCGAGGAGGAGAGGGGTCAGTGTTTCTACATAGGCACTATGTTTGTTGCACAGTAGTTTCAGCATGAGTATATCCGTGCACTCCCAGCGTCCAGGTCGCTATGGACTCAGTGTGACCTTTGTCACTGCACTGTGCTAAGTAATATTTATGCAAGACGTACAGAGGTTTCCTGTCAATGCAGGCTTGTGCAGCACGTTATGCCTTAATGTATGTAACTAACCTGAAGCTGCAGTTAGTCAACTGAACTCTCATAGGCCTGATTGCCTCCAAGTTTAAGCCTCTTATATGTCCTGTGCCTGGGTTCTTGTCCAGTGCTTCGCACATTTGGATTTACATGGTTTAGGATTCCTTGTGTCTAGTAACGAGTGTCTTCTGTGATTAACTATTCCAGCTTACAGCCGCCATATCACAATACTGAAATGTTGAGATATTAACATGTCAGATATGGTTATAATATTTCTTGCTGGTTAAGATGTCTTAATTGCAGCCAGTGAATATAGAATGATTTTGTTTGTGTAAGATAGATATTTAAAGTCAAAGAAAACATTGCTATTGAAGGTACTTAACCTGGTTTCGTCAATGTAACTTGTCAACTTGGTAGCAAGTCGGTATAAATGGTCAACTTACTCATAATTCAAAATTCTGTTTTTCACTTATTCTTCCCAGGAAGAATTTGCGGGATCATGTTATGTGGAATATCTGCTTAATGAAAGTTTTATATTCGGCCATTAAGGGTAACCATGGCTTAAAATCTCATGATATGAAGTAGACGACGCCCTTCAGTTAGCTACCCATCATAGTTGGCCACATGTTTAAGCAACCGACAAAACTGAAATTATTATTAAGGTATTGCCGACCCTCTTTATCTCTGTCATGGGATGTTTGCTGCATTTTATACATTTGCGTTGTGCTTCTGTGAATACTGTAATGTTCTGAGATCTGTAGCAGGGTTTCCCAGTCCTTAAAGTCATGCTGCCCATTTTCATGGTAAAATATGTAATCTCATGAAACCCAGTTATAAAATTATTTTGGACTGACTGTGTCCTTTAAGCATACTGTGGTTTTGGAATGGATTAGAGTGACTGTCAACCGCAATCAAGCAGTTTTCATTTACTTATCAATATATAACTTAAGACAATTACTTTTATATTGAAAGCATTACAGATATTTCAGTTGTATGTAGAGTTTCTTGCAATTTTTATGTAGGTTACATATATCTACTAAGTTTCTCATTTGTAGTAGAGATGCTTTTTCCTTTGTTTACCATGTTTTACGGAGATGCAATTAATAGGCAAGTCTATGTGACCGAGCTGCCCAACATTTTCTGCACCAACTGTCGACAAATACTTCATCTGTACCCCATCGTATTTTTACAAAATAAAATATAAACATGAAGAATTAGACGTAGTAATTTTTATGAGTCAAGGAAGGATGAAATAAAGTAAATTTTTTAGAGCATGCGCAATGGCAAATGAGACCAAATTACTTATTATCTTTTCATATAAATTACAATCACAAATACACACCTTTACTGACTTTTTTTCGCGAAACCTGTGGTTCGCGGACCACAGGTTAGGAACGACTACTCTGTATGAGTGGTACCAACGTCCTGACTTGCTACTATCCGACTACGCAGCAAGAGTAAAGATCAGGGATATCGAGGGATATAGCTTGCTCTGCAGTAAGGACAATTATCCCGAATGTGCAACCAAGTCACATCCCACTTTATCCCTAACAGTCTCTTCCCTCATCAGTTCCGCTAAATGAAAGAATCAGAAGACGGCAATTCCCCTGGATGTTGAGGGTTTCGATACTAATATTCTATCCCTTTCTTCGTGCATAATTTACACAAGATCAGCAGCTCCTTTTTCGGCTTCTTTCTTGTTACATTTGAAAATATGCTTCGTGGAATCCTAGCACCCCGTTTTAGAGATAGAGGGAAAAGGAAATTCATGAAATAAGTTACGGTATATCCAGTGTCTTTAATTCAGTTCATATTGTTACACGATTACATTCTCCGTTGCGTGATAACTGTTAAATAAACAAGTATCACGGCACACCTAACAGTGTTTGTACTCGTATTGACGGCACAGAACTGATTCAGAGAACATCCGCGCTTTGCCTTTGTGCAATTCACTGGAATAAGTCAAAGTGTTGAAAGCTGGCACTGACTATGTGCTCTTGTTTCGCTATAACACTGGACTTTCAGGAGATAATTTCTCACTTTTCCTTCAGAGCGGTTGGCCGATGATACAACTTTACATTTTATGATAGACGAATGAGCCTCCCTGTGTAATATTTCTTCAAAACAGGAAATGGAACAGAGTTGTCACGAAACAGACGCAAAGGAATCCAGTCAAAATATCAGATAAAATAGCGAGAAATTATTTTTCCAGAGGGATGGATGTTAAAGGGCATAAAACGTTGCTTAGGATTAGGTCTAGTAAACATCCCGGTCGTCTATGTTTACGTAGTGATTTTCTTAAGCAGTTGGAAGCACTGAGCGTGAAGCGGAAATCGGATGTGATGTCGCGAGGTCGACCGAACTACATGTATCGCAGTTTCTTCTTAATTTTTGCAG